AAGGCCGGAGTCGGGTTCATAGGCGTTTGGCTTCCCATTGGAGAGGCGGCAGATATAGGCGAAGGTGGTGGCAGTCTTGAGGGCATGTTCGGATTCCACACATTGGGTGCCATGTTCATCATTTGGCCCTTTCCGGCCATCGTATTCAACATGTGCGGGTCTGATATTGTCGTAAATTCGTCCCACGCGACCCCTGCATCCATAGTCGGGTGTCCAGCAAAGTCTCCTGGTCCCATGGGTCGATCTAATTCGAAAATTGGTCAGTTTACAACTTGGCCTAGCAATAATTTGGAATGCGCCAATGGCACACCTGACGCAAACCTACCTGGTGTTAGACCCATTGGGTTACTTGGAACCATGTTGACATTGTACGGCGAAAGTTCCTGGGCGGATGAAGTGTTCATGGGCATGGTTTGATATGGATAGAAGCTCTCGGTGGGATCGGAGACCAAGTTGGTCGGGGAAGATGCAATTGGCGTGGTGTTTGAGCGCTCTGTTGATGGAGTCTCCAATCTCGAGCTAGGGCGTGATTTCTTTTCGATTGGTGGTTGTTGGTCCACAGGGAAGAATTGACAGTCCTTTCGCAGTCGAATGCAATTCTCACAGCGTCCTTCTGCGTCGTCTGGGGCTACCAGGCATCGAATCTTTCGTCGGCGGCAATGTACTGTAGATGTATGAGCTAAATTGCTGATTTGCATGCCCGCTATGTCGCCCTGAACGGGGGCTCTCGTTCTTGATCGACATATCTGCGCACGATAGCGAGAGGAAGTGTGATTTGGTACTGACCACATGCGACAGATGTCCGGTGATACCCCAATTTATTGCGCTTTTTATCGTTTGCGTCCATGGCGGCGCTTTGTGAAGTGGGTGTTGATGCCATTTCGTCGACAGCTGCGGGCATAGCTCCTACATGCAAGATTCCGTCGTTATACCAGTTGAATTCGCATCAATAGCCCCAGCGCAACGAAAGGGGCGCCTTGCGAGAAATCGGGCTGAAAGTGCCTAGAGGGGTGATCGAATGCGAATGCGACAATCCCCACAAGGCCATGCAAGACACCGCAGAGAGACGATAGCCGAGGGGTGGTGTCCGGAGGATGACGCTCCAATCCTCAAGCCTAGATCCGCATGCGCCGATATTGCGCGTTTCAGAAAATGGCAGTCGGGGGTATGTTACGGCCCGCTGAGTCGGATGCCCGTCAAGTCTGTTGCAATAGAGTCGGGGTCGAGGATAGATTGGTTTCCAGGCCCTCAATATCTCCAGTTATTGCGAATTAATCAATGGTAATTATAATTAGAGTGTTCCTGGAAGACGGGCCTTCAGACAGGGTTAGGGTCTAGAAGGTTATCGTGGTCCAGTTTGGGATCGAGGAAGAAACAGACTAGGGGGAGACCAGTCAAACGATAACAACCAGAAAGAGATTAGTAAAGGAAAAAAAAAGAAAAAAGAAAAAATAGGCAATTCAAAGGAGTGAATGAAGTGAACGGTGTGAATGAAAGAAGAGAGCAGATCGAGGATGTACTATAGTCTCAAGAGACAGAAGCTAATCGCGGGGTGAAACGCTCTCAAGGCCTGGTTTCGGGTTTTTCTATTTTTTATTGAATTTTTTTATTTTTTATTTCCAGTATATCCCACCGTACGTGGAACAAGGTGGCTCTGCATACTAAGACTAACTCGGATGTATCGACTTAGCCCAAATCAACTGCAGGTCATTGTCAACCACATTCGATGATCCGTTCAGGGGGGCCTTCCCTTTAACCTTCAACCTTCGATTGAATCTATTGAGTTCACAGATGTTGTGCTGTCTAGCCAAGGGGGAATTTCTACTGTCCAGAATTTGTTCCTGATTGACTATTTCCCTGTTTCGTTTTATACATTCTGTCATCGTCCGAGCCAGATTGATTTCTGAGGAACACATCGTGATTAGGTAACTGTGCAATGCCCCCTGATTGCGTACGATAGACCCAACTCATCAAATGAGGTCGAGGCCAGGAACCATGGTCTGGGAGCCCTGACACGGTGGGGACTGTGGATGTTGGATGGTGGTCGCTCATAGTGTACCAGTTGGGCTTAGTGCCAGGAGGGCTACCTGTCAATCATTGATGAACTGGGGAATACTTCCTTCAAGTCCCGGCTAAGTGATTGGCGACGCGAGCTTAGGTCGGCACCTACAACCAATAAGCTCGGTATTCCGAGGGTCCATTGCCCCAAAGAGAACCTTCTGTGTCTGGTTATTTCAGAGGGTGATCCCGAGAAACCTTGTGTGCTTCTGGAAGGGGAATGTAGCTTGAGAATTATGCGCTGGCCTTCTGGAAGACTGGTAGTAGAAATTTCGCAATCCCCCATAACCAGACTGAAACGAACCACTGGATGATTGGTTCTAAAAACAGATTCAGGGTCCACGGCTGATGTGTATCAGGTTTTACCCGAGAAACACGTAGGTATTCGGCTTTTTCTTTCATTTCATTTCATTTTTTTTTTTTTTTTTTTTTTTTTTTCATTGTGTTCACGACAGTCATGCTTGGAGTTTCCCTTGAGGATTTGCCCCCCCTTTTTTTTGTCCTGCGTCGCCGGTAGCTTAATCCCAATTTGGCTTCAATAAAATGACATCTTCCGCCACATTTACCCAGAGCGAAAAAGAAATGTGCCCAGAAGATCCAATGGAAATAGTTGGTTCACCAATGAAAGACGGCCAACATTCTTAGTCAGGGATCCTACCACCGCGTTCCTTGGATAGAAAAGTCTCTAGTAGGTCAATCAAGTGAATCTTAATATTATAATTACTGTTTCTCTACCGTATTCATCTTTTGACGGAGTACGTGGCCCTTGTGAAAGTCCTCAAAAAGCCAATCTGTATAGGACCGGAGAAAACCAATGACATAAAGTGCAGCTACACAGCCCTGGACTACACCCAAATAAGATATCATTCCGAAAGCCTTAAGACACGCCCTACACAGTAAGAATCAGAAGCGATCTCATCCTGCAACTGTGGGGCTGGTCAAGGTTTAATTAAGGATCGTCTCGACGCTGGTAGCGCGTTACAGATGCTTCTTGGCAGTTAGGCTGGGGTTTGTCAAAAGCCTCATATGCATGCCAGATCCCACTAAAGGGGCAAACGGGTCAAGAGATCAGCGACGGGGTCCTTGTGCTTGTTCTACACTTCCAAAAAAAAAAAAAAAAAAAAAAAGGGGTGGCGAGGATCCGAGAAAAGACTGGTCACCGTGGCTTGGGGAGAGAGTGTTCAGGTGTATGGAGTAGGGAGTGTGGACTATGATCTTCACGTTATATGGGTGTATCACGTCAACAAATCCCCTCAAGGCCAATGGACGCCACCGATCACCGTGCTCTCGTACTGGCTTCTCTCCTAGCGAAGTACAGGCCCATGTACAGTATTGGAGCATGTGCATGCTAGACGCTGCATTCTACCCATGGGAATGGGTCGACCGCCCTTTTGCGAAGAAACTACATACGCTTCAGCCCCCACAGCACGCTCTGGTCAAAGATCGACGAAGCACGGGTCTTGTATGATGGCCAGGCGCCGATCCCATTGGGCCTCAAACTAAAGACTCTTTGGGGTGCGTCTGCAGCTAAACGATCAACATATGTATCGTGACGCGGCGAATGTCAACTACGATAGATCTCGCAGTAGCGCGAGACAGGCGACTCCGCACTCATAGGACCAATGTACGAGAATAGCATACAGGTCCGCCCGTAATCGGCTTTAGAGCAATTAGGTAAAGCCCCAACGGGCGTCGCGTCGTTGTCGATCGAGCCAATTGTTTAAAGTGAAACAAGGGTCCAGGGCTGAGCAAGATCTCGGTTTCTGATCTCACGAGCCAAGAATCCCTCGGTGGATAGACATGCTCACACGGAATTCCTTGCCTTCTAGAAGACTCGGCTAAATGGAGCTGAAGTTATACATTCCGAGTTTATAAAGTACAAAGATTTGTACTTAGAACACTATTCCAATCTAGGATTAGTAGGCGGCCATGTTCTCTCCTGCCAAATTTCAAGTGCCGAGCTCCGCAGTGGCGTTCTTTGTACCCTGTAAAGGCCATTCGCAGTGAGGTTTCTGATGGAAGTTGTCCGATGCTCTACCCTATATGTCGCGTGGCATTCCTTTCGGGCTAAGTGCTGTTTTAGACGGTCTTCTCCGGCCCTGCATGCCGCATCCCAGGAGGAGCGTTCGGTTAGAGCAAGGCTTAGTTCCAGATTACAGTCCAATATGGACTTGCATATGCCACATACTCTCCATGGACCGTGCAAATGAGACCTAGTAGTAACCTATCCAGTATCAAGGTCAAGGCATTAAACTGAGACATGTTCGAACGGAGTATACTTCCCACATCTAATACATACAGATCTCTGTGGAGTATCAATGCAGGGACCTCACTGGCCCCCTCTACCTGGTCCGGCTGTTTCACCATACTCGGGCCCTTGACTGTTTTTGGGGGCTTTCTCGGCTGCTCATGGGTCAACCCTTTTTAACCTGCAACCTGCCTTACGCGTCCTCCCAAGAAAATATTTCTCTAGGGTCCTCTCCCTATGATTCGCGAATTTCCTTGGGTTGTGAGGAGAAAAGGAAGGTGGTATCTGTTTTATTTATTTATGTTTTATTTTATTTTTCTTTCCCCCTACATTTTACTGGGCTGTCTCGACTCCAATAAAAAAAAAACGGTTTGGGTCCCCTTTCCCCCACGGCTCCGGTGAGAAGACCGTGCTATCACCACAACTTTTCCGGCCCAAAAAGGGGGTGTGCCCCAACCACGGACTTATCCTTCATTTCTTGGTGTCAAATGCCCAGTATGCGCGATTATATGCTCTGAGCCCTGAGCTTGAGGAGCTCAGCCCCAGTGGCTGTTATGGGCGCAAAATCACTTGGTCCTTCGCTAGGAGCAATTTTTGATGACCATGATGACATTCAATACCAAGTCAATATTTACTGCATACCACTGAAACATACTTTAATCTATCTACAGCCCATCAGATAGCCGATGTCACCTTAGTCGCTCACGCGTACCACGACCGGAATATCCACTGCTCTCGCTTGCCTGATACAACACGCGACGCAAGCCCGCCCGCATCGACTGATGATCGCATGACACCCGACAGAAGCGCACCATGCCCGAACGAACGTTTCCTTGGCCCGGTTGCCTCGCGCGTCGATTATGATGATTTCTGGGGTGGGCGGAGCCTCGTCATCTTGCGAAGATCGCATCGGCTGCGGCGCCGAGGTGTTTGGGAGACTGGCGAGTGGAATATAATTGTATGAATAGGACCGGTGCAGTGGATGACTAGGCAGGCGCGTCCATTTAGACTCTTGCGGCTTTGTAGGCTCTTGTTTTTCGACTTGCTCTCGGTCGACGTGGTTTCTGCTGGCAACTCCTAATGGCACACGACACTCATGGGCGGAAATGAAGCGTACATTGTACTTGAGGGCGAAGGAAACCGTAATTGCGCCCCCTGCGCCTTCCGCTTCATCAATGGAGAATGACATAGTTGCCTCGTCAGCGGGTGCAATGGTCTTCCCATTGTCGCATGGAGATCTGACACCATTGACCGATAAACCCAACAACCTCACTTGGCGATTGGATGTTGCGCTTGACTCGGCTTCTTCTTTTGGAATCGTAAAGGCCTCTGCGGTGATATCTCCTACACCCAAAGGTGATGACTCCATCGTAAGCCTAGCTCCCTGCTTGATTCGAGGCTTACTCGAAACCTGGGGTACTTGCTCAACAGGGAGCTCAAACCAACCACGCTCAAGTACCTCCTGCGTAGTTTTATCGCGGGGAAGCATGTCGCTGCTGATCCACCCCATGCATGTCCTGGCTCCTGCTGCACTAGACAGAACGCGCCCAACAATGCATGCCTTGCTCCACCAACTGCGTTCACCATAAACAAATCCCCCATAGAGATTAGCAATAGGCCCCAGCTGCCCTAGAGCCTCAGCATCATTCTCTAGCAGGGTAGCCATGAGAAGATGACTGACGCCCTCACCGGGGATCACGAATCCAGATAGCCAAGTACGCGAAACCCAGCCTAGGGTTTTAGATTGTGGATCGCCCGAGCTATGGAGCTTCACGCGCCGGCGGCAGGGGTTCCGGGTGTACATATCCTCCTTGCCCAGTGAGGTCCCACTGGATATAGGTTCCACCCCCCTGTCATCGACAACCAAGGCTGGAAGGATCGGATTCTCTGCGTCCCCCAGTTTAAGGTTCATTGCAGTTTTCAAGGCATCGATATTTGGCCATCCAATATTTTCAGCGAAAACGTACAATCCCTCCAGCTGTTGTCGGACGTGCGATGAGCTTAGCTGGCAATCCCAGGCAGACTGCAGGCTCGCAGCCGGGGATGATTTGCGTCGAGTGAGAGTTTCCATGAAGGGAAAGTGGCGACCCTTCTCAGGCGACTTGTTGGGCGAAGAGGGTGACCGAGATGCATCTGAAGGTGCTTTTGATTCCGATGATGCCCAAGTGATATCCAGACTATCAAGGAATCGACGCACAACAATCAAATCCCAATTGACCTTGCCTTCACGCAGCTTGTCGAATTGATGAAGTTCCAGGATCGTGATATGACCCCCATGCGGATCATGTAACATACCAACTCGAACAAAAGCATCCAATCGAAGAAGCAACTCCGCGGAGAGAAGCATCTGTATCATCAACCACTTTCGCTCAATTCCAGACGTGGTCAAATCCTCTCGAGGTAGGCGGTCACCGCTTGACCCAGGCTCTAGACAGTCCCCATCACCATGTAGTGAAGCTTCCCAAAGAACTTGCCCGGCACGAAAACGCCATTCAGGCAGGCTGAAGTTGATCCATGCACCCGGGGTGTTCAGCACAATACACAATGTCTTGATCTGTGACTTGATGCTATGGGGATGGCCTGGCAGGATGTCGGCAGGTGGCGGATGGGGGTAGAGAAAACGAGTATGCAATGAATCGTGTAATTGATACGGAGTCTCAATGTCTAGAATTGTCTTTGTCGATCCCTCTCGAAGCATGTCTTGTCTGAACTGCCGCAAATGATCCAGCCGTTGCACGAGAGCTTGAAGACTGATATCTCGCACCCCAATGCGCTTCCAGGCCCGAGGACCGTCGCAGATGAGCTGGTGACGATCGTAGACGGCACCACTCTGGCATTGGGAATAGGGTCTGTCGTACCCCCCATCAGATCGAAGGCCTCGGTTGCTGGCAAGTTTGAGACGCGCCGCAAGTATGGTGGTGGCCTGGGCTCTTCGGGGCCCGTATATCGAACAGCATCCGCCACGGACAGTTCAAGAAAATGTCGAAAGCCAACGGTACCGGGCTCCTTTCCGTTGTTAGACAACATGTTGGGTACCTCGAATATCCCGACATCAAAAGTAGCCCTGTTGGTAGCGTCTGTTCGGCGCCAGTCGTAAATTTGAATAGGCACACCACCTTTCACAGCCCAGTCATCTGGGACCGGTAGATGAGCGTGGAGTGTGCTGAGAGTAAATGAAGCATGTGGTAATGGCTTCCGATCCCACAGATGTTGAACTACAGGGTTCTGTTCATCCCAGGGAAAGATCACTTGGGGATACCACCGCCCATGTTTGCCCTTCTCCAAAAGAAAGTGAGGCGCCCCAGAGAGAATTTTCTTCACATCTTCCTTGGTGAGTACTGATTCAACCGGAGATCTAGATTTAGTTGCCGCTGACTTATTCTTCGGTGTGCTTGATTTGTCAAGTCTGTACTCGAGGAGATCTTGAATATTCCCTGGCTGCTTGGGCTCGGAGTGATCTGGTGCTGTAGGGGATTGGCCGCGAGGAGAGGCGCAAGGATAATCTCTGTTGCTACCATTTCGGCCACTGTCGCATCGTTGTTTGTGCATGGCGGGCGCGTCAGCCGAGGTAGACTTTTCATGTCCCTTGCTCGCCATCAGTGACATCCGGGGTGCAAAGGTTCACCGTCTTACATGAAGTTCTGACTTCAGACTATCACTGCTCTTTCGAAAGAGATTTCGAAACCCGCCTTCAGAGCGAGCATCTTGATGCGAAAGCGATCGTCTGAGCGCCCTGGGCTCCTCACGGGATGCTGCATCCGATTGTGAACGGCGTCGGCTAAAAAAGAAAGTCATTGTGAATGCGCTGCTAGTGCATGGTAAACGTTTAAAAGTATGAAGCAACTCAAAAATATTCCCAAATTTAGAGCTGGGAATCAAAGAAGCAATAAGCTTATGGGGACGCTGATCTCGGCTCTTCGGCTTGCAACGGACCCTGTCAACGGCAATGCGGCAAGTGGACAGCTGTGGCGCCGAGTTTGGGCCGATAGCAGCAGTTCACCCAGAAAGAAACGATCTTCAAATAGACAAACGGGATCCCGACACACTGAAGGGGATTTTGTCCAGGTGAAGTCGAAAAGTGATGAAGTAAGAGTGAGCGGGTGGGATGTGTCATCACGTGATGAGTATATAGTCCGAGAACAGAGAAAGGAGAGTGAGTCAAAGTGTCAGTTTCGATCAGATGGCAATTTGCTTATGATATCCCTTGGTATATTTCCTGCTGGGGTACCTTGCTTTGTACAGTCCACGACGTAATGTTTTCTGTGGGCCACCGGCTATTTGATTTAGTACCCGGACCGAGATATGATAATATAGTGACCGGAAAACCTCAGATTAGAACTATAAGACTTGATGAATGTCAATGATTGATTTTCAAGGAGCTACACTTTACTTGAAAGGCAGAGCAATTTAGCCGTACTCTTGCCAGGCGTCTTGAATCCGATCACGCTCACAATGGAGACTATCAACGTGGATGTTCTGGTCTGTGGGGGAGGAATGTCTGGAATGGCATGTGCTGCTTTCGCAACCGAAGCAGGAGCTCAAACAATGGTTGTCGAGAAGCAACCCGATGTCGGTGGCTCATCAAATTACTCTGCGGGAATGTTGTAAGTAATTGCACTATTATCCGGAATAAAAGCCGTGTTGACAATATCAACAAATAGCTGGGCACCGCAAAACTACGATAAGCTGAGATCTTGGGTCCCAGCAGGAGACCCTACTCTACAAAAAGCCTGGCTGAAAGATTACCTGCCCGCAGTGCAGTGGATGCGTGACAACGGAGTGCCTACTGCAAAACGTTTCGATGGCATCATGACAATAGGTGCAGTGTGCCAAATGCAGGAATTCTCAAAAACACAGTGGCTGACAAGATACAGGTATCGGGTTCCCAATCAAAATACCGCACCTTCAAGATCTCCATCAAAAACGCATCAAGTCGAGCAACGCAAATGCACTTTTCACAAACACCTCGGTGGTCAGGCTAATTCAGAAAGAGTCTGGTGTGCCTGGATCGAGTGTAACCGGTGCCATCATTTGTCGGCATAACTCCAATTCGCCATCTACATACTATGAGGTTCAAGCTAAGTTGGTTGTTTTGGCCACTGGTGGATTCCAAGGTTCTTCCGATATGACCTCGAAGTACCTAGGACAGGGTGGAGATAATATCTTCGTGCGTTCGAATCGTGGTTCGGTGGGCGACGGGCTCAATATGGCCATTGAAGCTGGTGCTGGGACTAGCAGGGGTATGAATACCTATTATGGCCATCTAATGCCAGCTCCACTCCGAGCTGAGGACGTGAAGCCAAAGGAATATCTTCCACTTGCCCAATATCGTAAGCCAAGATGCTGAGTGAGCTCATACAGATATCTGACAGCTGTATAGAAAGCAAATATTGCCTGTTGATCAATGAATCCGGTCGACGATTTGCAGATGAATCAACAGGAGATGAAATCATCAACCAATATCTTGCCAAGCAGGAAAAGCGTCGTGGGTTTATATTGTTTAAGTATGTGAAATTTCACTGAAGAGTAAATGATATCTGACCTGATTACCTTCTATAGTGAGGAAACCCGCCTCCGACACAGTGTGGGTGCGCTGTTTCCCAATGCTGGTGATGTCGATCGTCTGCAAAAAGCGCGCGACCACGGTTGTAATGTTGGAAAGGCTTCAACGCTGAATGAATTGATGAATATTCTTCATAATTGGGGGGTGAACGATGTGCAGACAAGACGCACCATCGAGCAGTATGATCAAGTAATGCGTTTGGGGCACAAGCACATCTCCTTGGATGCCCCTGTTGGCCGTGGTGGACCGCAGCCTGCACCTTTGGTGGATGGAGAAGGTCCATTTTATGCCATTGAGGTCCAGCCATCGTAAGTCAACCCAGCCCCTGCTCCGCCATTCTCCTAACATGTATAAGTATTACCTTCACCTACGGTGGAATCGCGATCGACACACAAGGGCACGCGCTGACCCCTGACAAGTCTATCATTCCAGGCTTGCTTGTAGCAGGCGTCGATGCTGGTGGTTTTAGCAACCTTGGATATGCTGGAGGCCTTGCTCTGGCCTTTGTGACAGGCTTTTGGGCTGCCCAAGAGGCTGCAAAACAATTGAATTTGCCGGTCCCTCGCCTTCCTCCTGCTGATTCTCGCGATGGGGAGGAAAGACCAGTTCCAGGCCGTCTGTAGAACGATGTGGTAGCGTGCATGGATCAAATTTTGTAGAAATCTATGACGTCGGTAGTCCAACAAAGTTCAATCTACTCATCTATCAAGGTCCTCTATCAAGGTCCTCAGTTGAATATCAATGCCGGTTCCCCTCGGACTCTTTCACCTATTTCTCTTCCTCCTTTTCCTCGGCCTATGTGCGTCAAATGCAAGAAGTTTGATGGATGAACCCTTCAATTTGCTCACTGATTCAAATAATTAGATACAAAACTCAATATTTCTGAAGTCCTCTACAAGCCAGACGGCCAGAATCCAAGGCTTAAGCCACGAGAACTCCCCGGTATCGCATTTTGCCTTGCTCCAGGGTCTGGAGGCTTTGTTTCACGCCATCCAGAGTCAGAGGGAAGGTCATGTTGATGGGCTTGATGCCGTGGAAGGCAGCAAATGCGAGCATATCCCGGTGGATTTGTCTTGAGGACACGATGCCTCCTTGCACCCGAAGACCATTCACAAGCAGTGGCATGTACGGTATTTTGAGGTCGTTGGCGTCTACAGTGAGTGGGGAGATGACACCATTAGGAGCCATGACGTTCAGGTAGAGCTGCCAATCTGGCTGGCTACTGGTGGTCACAAGGAGGTTGTCGATGGGGGCAGAGATCTTCAACTCTTTGACGCCCTTGGTCGCATAGAATTCGGCAGCGCCCAACTTGAGCGCCTCATCTTTTTTACTGTCCGTGCCTGAGAACACCACGACCTGACAGCCCATCTTGGCAGCAAATTGGATGGCCATATGTCCCAGGCCTCCAACACCGACGACACCGACGCGAGCGGTCGGACGAACTTGCGCGACGGTGAGTGCATTGAAGACAGTCGATCCACCGCACATCAAGGGACCAGCGTCTTCGTTACTCATATTGTCGGGAACCTTGAACAAGAAGGCCTCACGCCACACAGCATGTGTACCAAAGGATCCCTGGTCGAGATCGGCGCTGCCATACATCTTGCGCTCACCACACATTGTTTCCCAGCCCGTGAGGCATTGCTTGCAGTGGCCGCAACAATCGTGTTCATAACCCCACCCCACACGTTCACCTTTCTTTAAGAGGTGCGCATCAGGACCAGTCGCTTCTACTACACCGGTTCCTTCATGGCCGAGCGCCATGTCGGCTCCTTGGTAATGAACATCAGTCCCACAAACGCCAGAGTGGGTAATGCGAACGAGTACATCATCGGACTTGAGGTCTTGTCGCTCAGTCTCAGTCTGCTGGATCCCGTCCTTGGAACCCTTGTACACACTGAACTTGATAGGCATTGTGTGAAATTGAGCAAGAAAAGGATTTTGAGGGTGTGAAGCTCCGAATTAGTGCACGAATATTCATTGACGAACTCTGAACAGGCTAATCTTTATAATCCAGCTCTCTGGTACGTCATGGCCCATGGTTTCTAGCCTACCCGAGCCCCCAGAGGCCGGATCAGGCATTTCCTCGAACCTGTTGGAAAGTTTCGTAAACAAAATCAATCGCGATACCATCTGGGTGTCAAAACAGGTCCGTAAGCTCCAATGATATCACCAGCTAGCAGAGCCATTTGACATTGGTTGAATGCTCACGCGCCTAACTCCGGGATTGGGGCCTATCTATTGAGCAATCGGCGTTCAGATCGAGAACAAAGGGGCATCAAGATTTGTTCGAAGTGGTGACATCATATACCCACGCTCAAGTGGGCCGCAGTGAAGCCAAAATTGGGAGCTGTCGGTAACAAGTCCGATATTTTGCGTAGGACATACTCCGTACCAAGGCTGGAAGATTGTTATGAACTGAGTGTTGCGCGAAAGCGACCAAGCCCAGCCTGGGAAATAGGTAAGTGTCTGATAGACGGATGGATATAAAACGCGTTGTCAGCAGGGAAATCTATGCTTGCTCTACCTGTGCTTAGACTCTTCATATAATCATGTTTACCCATCGTGTGTGTTCTCTGCATCATGCATGTAGGTGTGGCAAGTTGAAATAGCTCTCCTAGCTGGCAATCACTAGTCTGCAAACACATAAATTCACACGAAGTATCGATCTTTCCGAGACCCGAGAGCATTTTCTATGTTAATCATTATAATTTATTGAGCTTGATAGCTATCTCGCAAATTGCTACGATAACTTCTTGTCGCTATTCAGAACTTGCGTTGATTCTGCCATAGGCGGTGGAACTAGCGATATCGGACATCCCGATTGGGCAAATGCGAAGTTTAAATAACAAATTTTGTCGCATCTCGCAATCTTTTGCTATTGTCAAGTGTGCTTGTGGTTTTTGACATTGAAGCTCTGGAGATCGTAGCCTCGGTCTGTGATTATGATCCAGATCAACGGTATCACCAGCCCTGGTGATTCCCCTCATGTCATACCTGAAAAGGATGCCGCGTTGGCGGTCGTGAGCGAGGTTGCCCAGGAAATTGATCCCGTCGTGGAAAAGCGAGTGCTACGAAAGATTGACTTGTATTTAATGCCTGCTATGCTCATTGGTCAGTTCCAAACTGGATATCGCCCCCAAGGCGCTGCGTGTGACATCTTGACTAACTTGAATACAGGCTATGGCATGGTGTACTATGACAAGGTAGATGGAATATCCAATATACGCCCAAAGAACACAGCTCTGACGCAATCAACAGGCCATCCTAGGCAGCGCCGCGCTCTTTGGCATGACAACCGATTTGGCCCTAAAAGTGACAGACAACTCTACATCTCCGCCATCTGTTGACACCTCTCGACTCAGCTGGGCAACGTCGATCTTTTACTTTGGAATGCTTGCTGGTCTCTACCCAATGACTTTCGTTTTACAGCGATTCAACATTCGATCGGTTTTGGGCCCAGTAGTCCTTCTGTGGGCTGTTGTTTGTGCAGCCACTGCCGGCGTGACAACTTGGAAGGGGCTTTTTGTACAGCGATTCTTCCTTGGTATGTGTTCGTTCTGAATATGAATTTTCAATTTTCATACCCTGACAAAGCACAGGATTCATTGAAAGTGTCATCCCAACTGGGTTCATGACTATAGTCAGTGGTTACTACACACAAGAGGAGCAGGCCCTTCGACAAGCGTGGTGGTTCTCTGGCACTGGCTGGTTTACTATTATCGGCAGCGCACTCAACTACGGATTTGGCCAAATAACTTCTGGGTCCTTGAAGAGATGGCAGTATATTTACATTCTGGCTGGTGCTCTGACCTTTTTGTTTGGTCTCTGGTGCTGTACTATGCCAAATTCGCCCGTCTCAGCCTGGTTTCTGACTCTTGAAGAACGAGCGGTTGCTGTGGAGCGACTCCGGAAGGGTCAAACAGGCGTGAGGTGCCAGAAGATTAAACCAGATCAGATCAGAGAGTGTCTGACAGATACCAAAATTTATCTGGTGGCTATCATGATGGCAGCAGCGTGAGTGTTCTTGTTCATCAACTTGCATCTTGCCTATGCATTTAACTAATATTATGCTCAGGTACACTATTAACGGTGCTATCTCGGGCTTTGGGCCGTTGATCGTATCGACGTTTGGTTATAATACCTTGGATTCCATCCTATTCCAATTCCCCGTAGGTGGCATTTGTGTCATCTTCATTCCTCTCTGTGGTTATATTTCCACAATTGTACCCAATGCGCGCATTCCTATGCTAATCACCTGCTGCCTTCCAGTCATTGCTGGCTGTGTGATGATTTGGAAATCACAATGGGGATACCACCCGGCGACTCCTGTCATAGGCTACGCACTGACTGGTTTCTTTGGACCAGTGGTTAGTCTGATCATAACAGTTGGAGCTAGTAACGTTGCTGGAGCCACGAAGAAAACCATCATGGCAGCAACTGTCTTCGTCGCATACACCGTGGGCAACATCATTGGGCCCCAGCTAGTGAAAACGAATACTAAAGCACAGCACTATCCGGAGTTGTGGACCGGCATGGTGATCTGGTTTGTTATATTCTTTCCGATTTCTATTACTTGGCTCATCTAACGGAATCTAGTTATTGTATCACGATCACTGCTGCTGTGGCATTGTACTTGGTGCTATGGCGTGAGAATCGAAACCGGGACAAGTTGGAACTCGATGAGGTGCAACGAGACAAGATTGCTTTTGACGATCTCACTGACAAGCAGAATCCCTTTTTCCGGTATGCATTATAATTTGTCCACGCTGGTCTTCAGTTAGTATAACGAGGGAAAATATTTGCTTCAGTCCAAGATAATTATCACATGAACTACTGCCTCCGATATCTCTGCGTGGAACATAGCAAAATATATGCAAATTACCTCATCGTTCTGAATTGTTTTAACAAGATACAAGGGCAGCTCCTCCCCTATTATATGGAGCAATACCATGATGAACACGGAATCTTGAAGATTCCGTCTCTCGCAACCCCGCAGACAATTCGCTTATGGGATAGATAAAAGAGTTTCCTTTAGCACATTTATTCTATCTTTAAAAATTCCCCAGATTAAATGGAGGTACCAAAAGAGCCCTCTGTTGAGGCACTTCGTGGTAACTACGCTGCGGCGAGGGATCCGCGATATGAAGTGACCTGGGAGCCTCTTGACGCGGAGAACCCTCGGAATTGGACACTGTGGTACAGAGTGTTCATTGTTACATCCATGTCATTTTCTACCACCATAGTGTGAGTCTAATCCATTGAATACCCTACCGCATTTTTTCACGCCTAGCTGACCTGACTGATGGGCATAACGCAGAGTGATATACTCGACCATGTATACTTCTGGCGTTGATGGCATAAGAAGAGAATTCAATATTTCTTCAAAAATAGTTGTTCTTCTTGGCCTGACCACAAATCTTTTTGGTCTTGCGTTGGGTTCGGTTGTTTTGTCGTCCCTCTCCGAGATCTATGGCCGCCGGCCCATATACATCATTTCTGTTCTTCTGTTCGCCCTCTTCATTCTGCCCGTCGCTTTAGCAAAGAATATCGAAGCCATTTTGATCAGTCGATTCTTTGGAGGCTTCTTTGGTGGAACTATGATCGCCAGTGCCCCAGGAAGTGTGACTGATGTGACGGATGACCAGCACCGCACGTTGGCACTCAGCTTTTGGAGTCTCGGAACCATGAATGGGCCTGTCCTTGGTACGTCTATGCCCGCTTGTTCTCTTATAATTGGACGCTAACCTCTTGTCACAACCCATAGGGCCCATTATTGGTGGCTTCGTTTGTCAGTACCTTGGCTGGCGCTGGATCGATTGGATAGTCTTGATTTGCAGCGGTGTTTCACTCAGCTTGATGTTGCTAGTCCAGGAAACATACGCCCCAGCTCTTCTTCGGAAGCGCACAAAAGAAAAACAGCAGGCAACGGGGGATCGTCGCTGGTGGTGCCGATTTGATCACCAAGAGACTGGCTTACAAGTTTTAAAAACTAATTTGGTGCGACCCCTAAGGATGGTTGTACTTGAACCTATATGGTGAGTTGAATATGGACACTCTTGCGCGCTGATTTTCCAACTAACTTGGTATTGCCAAAAAAAGTATATTTTGGAATTTGTATGTTGGCATCGTATACGCAGTCCTATTTTTATGCTTTGTTGCCTATCCAATTGTGTTTGAAGAGCACCGTAGCTGGCCCGCAGGTCTTGCAGGTCTAGGATATTGTGGCATTGGCACAGGGACGGCAATTGCTGTTCTACTGGAGCCCTTGGTCAGACGGATCATCGATCTGCATCCCCGCGATCCAATCACAGGACAACCTGCTCCAGAGGCAGCAGTGATTGCAATCTGCATTGGGAGCATCTTGATACCAGTTGGAGAAATCTGGTTTGCTTGGACGGCACGTCCTTCAGTACACTGGATATGTCCCATTCTTGCCGGAATACCCTTTGGCATGGGGAATGGCTTTGTCTTCATCTATGCGACGAGCTATATGGCCGGGAGTTACACTGTCTATGCAGCCTCGGCTCTAGCAGGAAACTCCATTGTGAGATATGGGCTTGCTGGACTTTTGCCTCTGGCTGGGGACAAGATGTACAGTACACTCGGGCCTGACTGGGCGAGCACAATGCTGGCACTGATAGAATTTGCTCTCATTCCTATTCCCTTTATCTTCTACAAATACGGTCACCATATTAGACTGCGAAGCCCGATGACTGCAAAGAGAGATATGAATGGTTGTTGATCCCTACTATGAGCTCAATTGCGATAGACTCTAGTTATGAAGTTCATGCGTGTCTAGTGAATCAAAACAAGAGGGTCTGTATAAGGAATTTGCATCATTATCCTCCAGGTAGGGTTGTAGGCAAGAATGTCAGACTCAATCGCCAAACAATCCTAGGCCATAAGTCCTCTCCCTCACTTATACATAAACAACTGTATTCGGGATTCTCAAAAAGAGGCGAATGTAGGGTAGGAACCATGCATGAAAAAGCATATTTGCTTCAAAGCTTTGATTAAGAGACAGACTAACAATTCATCAGTGCCGCTGTATACACACTTATGACCTCCGTTACAGCAAAATCTATGTCCAATCAAAAGGAACGTCTGAATCCAGATCATTCGCGAATAATGTCTGCAGCCACTCCATTCCACCATCGATGATCTCTCCTGGCAGCCAGGCATTTGGATCCGGTGCGAAGGGTCCGATTTCTTGCACATGTGACCCTGTCATTGCCTTTGCTTCCTTCTCCTGAAAATTGAAGTCCATGTTCTCCGAGTTGACTATGTTCATCTCGCCTTTTTCGGTTCCATGTGCTGTACCGGCCTCGTTTAAAGAATTCATCCGCTGGACACCACTGGAAACATGGAGAATTTTCTGGCCTTGTTCAAAATCAAAGTCGTTGGTCATTATCTCATCAGTTTTCAGGTCCAAGGGCTGTGCTACTTTAGAATGCCCGTCAGCAAGATTTGAATACAGCGGTTGACCAGTCAATGCTTGGCAGTCACTTTCAAGTTGCGAGATCCCCTGGTGAGAAGCCGACACGGTCACATCTGCTCTGAGTGTTGTATCCAAGACCGACTGTGCTGGTGATATAGAGCAATCCTGAATATGTTGATTCATGCCTCGAATTTGATGAGATTGAGAGGATCCCTGCGATGAAGATGTCATTTGATTGTTTTCCTGGTCTCCAGGGGAGCAAAAGCCTGGACTCAGTGTGGCCTCGGCCATTTGGTTCAGCTTCCAGACTGCTCGAGCCATTTTGCCTGAAACCCAGGTTTTATGGCAGTGTTTCTTCAGAGACCGTGCAGTTTCCAGCGTCATTCTCCCGTAAGTCTGTTTGAATGAATGTTGTTTTATTATGAGACCAAGGGCGATGATGGTTGCACTGGCGAGGTAGTGCAGAAAGGGGAATGTGTACTTGGGATGATGGTCTTCAGGTACATTTTTAAAATCATCACTAATTCCTTGGACCAGACGCATACAAATAACCTCGTTTTCAGTTGCCTGCGGTGAATGCAAAGAGCCGGCTTGTTGTAGCATCGGCTTTCTGATTAGAAGGTAAAGGGATGCCCAACGCTGCTGAATGATTAGATGTCGCCGATATGACTGGGGGTGCGCAAAGTCACGGAACGAAATTACTTACAGTTCGCATAATCAATTGCTGCTTGATTTGCCACCACGCCAATCCGCTTGCTCTATAGCTGCCTGGTCGACGGGGATCATATGAAAATTCTGGTTGAAGATCCTTTTGAGACTGCGTGATCAAAAGCTCTAGGTATTCATTGAGAAATGAACTTGGCGAGGAGTGGGCGGTAGAGGCACCGTACAAGGCTTCCCATACTTTACCAATAACTCTCGAATAACTGGTCATAGCAATCAGATATGGTACAGTTGTGTGTGACCTTTCAATGGTGGCATCGTCGGCACGTATCAAATGAGAAGTTCCACGACACCTACTGAGCCACTCATCACTCACAGTCCGCGGAAGACCAATGTCAACGTTCACATCCTGGATTAGGAATGGGCGACCTGTTTCAATAGCTAGTCGTCGATCCATGAGGTAGATGCACCACCAGAAACGCCGAGCCATTTCGCTTTCAAAGATGCCCAACTTCTCCACCACTTGGTATCGCTGGAGTCCGATATGATGTGAGTGTGATATTGAAAGGGCCAAGAGCTTTTCGGCAGGGCCGTGTGCGTCAATGCGGAAAAGGTAGATAACCTGCACAAGATATGAATAGGGTCAGCCTGTCAGTCCAGATAGAAATGTTGAATAGCTGCCCCAGCCCTCACCATTAACAATATAGTTTGGAGCAAGAGTATCTGATTGGAACACTCGCTGAAGACATCGAGAAGATCACCGAAGATATCTCTGGCTGCTCTGTAAAAGCTCCAACCGGCGGAATAATGTCCCTTGGGACTCTTCACGCGCGATGATATCACGCATTTACCATTTGCCAAGCATAGTAGAATATGTGCCAAGGTGAATCGCGACTCAGCATGTCGATAGTAATGACTCGATCCAGGGCCACGGGAGTTTTCCCACATTTTCGAATAGGCTTCCCATAGAGAAGGTAAATGCAGAAAGGGAACTAAAATGTGCACCTCATCACAAAATACATGCATAAGCTGGTCCCATTGCTTTCGGTCCGGGACTATACCATGCGGACCATGAAGCTGGTATATGTAGCCCTGCGTCTGATTTCTGGGTCTAGTATTTGGTGAATCGCACGGAGATGGAGTTAATCGAGAAGCGAAGGGTTGGTTTGGGGACGTAGACCGTAGCCTTGCATATCGTACGCCCATCTGCTCTAGCCGTCCTTCGACAACAGTCAGATTATGGGTTAGGGAGGTCTCTCCGGAAAAGGTTGGCACTGTGGGTGAAGCCGTGTGATGATGAAGAGGCCGCTTGCTACCTGTTGGAGTGTCCTCTGAGAGATGCTGAGGCTCGACGGACTGATCCTTGGGGCTTTGATCTTCTTGGTCCTGGTGCCTCTCAGTGCGGAATACTGATGATTCCCCACTTTGTAAGAGACCATTACGCTGATCCTTCCGAGCGTCCAGGTTCTTTGCTCTAGGGGCAGAAGTAGCACATATTCGCTTGTATCTGGTAGGACTGGTCATGTCAAACCTCATGTGTACAGAAGTTTCATTAGGCTGCCGCCATCTCCCTCTCATGTCAGTCCCTTCACGCTGACATTCACATCCCTTTGCAACGCATGATTTGCACGGAGCATTGCCGTCGCACTATCGCACTTTATGCTCAGTCCACCACTCTCTCAAAGGTCCAGGGGAAGTATAATCAGGCACATCCTACCTTAATTTTCCGACGCTTACATTGCCCACTAGTTCGAGACACAGCATACATCAGTATAAAGTGCTACAGAAGGCCAGATAGGGTACGCACCATGCTCTCGAGGCATACTTTCCTCGCTTGGTTCGCTTCGTTTCGGGCTCGATTGATAGGCCATCTCGATCACGCTTCACATTTTGCGAAGGAGAAACAGTACTGTTATCATCCCCCCGCGGGTCTAAAGAATTGCTCTTGGTTTGTACATTCCTCATGGCGGAAATGGTTGTTGAAAGGTGGCGGAATTTGAGTGGAGTAAAACAGGAGGAGTCGGAATCTTCGGAATTTTGGGTCTTGGCACACGCGTAGGGCATAAAGTACATAGATTGCAATTGAATATTTACACACATCTGTTACCGATCTGCTAACGACTGAACTCAAATGCCCATGCAGTGCTGGCATCGGTCTGGTAAATAGGGAACGTCAAGGTATCGCCTGTGTATGTGTGAGTAACAACACCTCGATCACTAGGTGCGTCCACCTCCTCGTAGATAGATGTGCCTGCGAAGCCCCAGGTTTGTATATCCACCGAGCCCTCCGTTGGTAGGCCCACGGCACTCAAATTGTCAACTGTGATCTGCCAATTGCCGGACGTGATACGAGTCCCTGAAAGAACACGCACTTTGTCCGAGTCAACAGTCGCATACACATCGAACAGACGATCACCAGTACCACTAGTCTCAACTCGGCTCCCGGTCATATTGAGGTAGTAGTATTTGTATACTTGGAACTCTGGAGCCGCGGCATAGTCGGTAGCGCTGTAATCGGAAGGGTCAGAGACCTTGGTGAGAAGATTGGCCATCAGGTCGTGCAATGTCCAGCCGCTCAGCCAATTGCCACGGAGTCCCCATGCATCGTAGCGTTCCAATCGTGAAATCCACCAAGCTGCACCGGCAGGGACTTGCTCTCTTTGATTCGCGTATTCGTTGATGTTGATTTGACGGTCCGGCAGGTTGTATGTTTTCAAAAGAGCCGTAAGTGTCGCATTGGTGGTTTGAAGATCGTTGTCCCACTCATCTGAACTGCCTTCCAGATGATAAGAGTACTGCTCTGGAATTGTGTCATTGCCCGCGATTTGATCAAGCCAGTCGGCCCACCAAGTGTTGCCAGACACAGGTCGGAATGCCAAAGAGGGGCCTGAAATCTCAACGGTATCATACTTCGGATTCGCCCTTTGAATGACCCGACTTAGCAAATAGAGTCAACGTGAGCAGGGAAACAGGCTCACCGGAGAAGCTTGTGGGTGCGAATATAAAGATCAATCCACTGTTGCTTGCTGCGCGTCCAGAAAGCGCTATAGTCGGGCTCATTCCAGATATCCCAAACAAGACCTTCGAGAGCGTTGTTTGCTTCAAGATCGTCCATGAGTGTCTTTACAAACTTGTCCCAGTCTGACCAATCTCCATTGTCCCCAGGCCAGGCGGTCGATGAGTTTGTATGGTCGGTTCCCCAGACATCGTGAGGGAGAAGAATAAAGGGTGCGCCATACTTGCGACAGGTCTGATAATTGGACAGCGTAGACTCAAGCCGGGCCCGATACTCATCAATACCCCAGATCCAGCCTCGAGCCGGTGCATCGAGTTGTGCTCCTCCTGCGCGCCCGTAGTTAAATCCGATATCTGTATACCAATGGTCGGGAATCTGGTTGAGGGTATCGGGAATCCCATAGATGAACCCAGATGCCCTGTGTACAGACTGGCCTTTGGAAACACCCAAATTTACAGTAGCGGTGATGTTGTCGGCTGACACCAGCCCGGCTGCGAGAAGAACTGCAAGAAGCCCAAGAGACATTGTCCTAGTAGAGGCAAACTCATGGATGAACTTGAGAATTGCGAGGCGAGGCGTCCTTTTATCTCAGGCCCAGCAACTGCCGGAGTTCGCCAACTCCGTAAAATGCAAGTTCTTCTTCATACCATCGCATCTCCACTACTTCAATTGCGGGGTGGCTGCGGAGTTCCGTGAGCAGCTGTTGCACCAACAGGGGCATGTCTGCTTGAAAAAGGTTCTGCGGGAGTGATCGACCATAACCCCAGATCAAATCTTCTGAAAAACCTGTGGCTTTTCTCCGGTGGAGGGGCGAAAAAAGGCAGCAATACCCCTTGCAGGATTACTCCGGTGGGTTTCAAATGCCGCCTATTGCTGCAAGACTTGGCATGGAGGCCCTGAAGTCGAAAACTACGTAGATCTCCGTCGAATGATCACCGTGTCCACGCACGGTTCCACCCATACAGGCAAAGAATAGCTCCGGTCTCTAGGTTGAAAAGTTGATGTGTGACAAGTGTATGTTTGTATCACGGCAATAGGGACATTTTGGAACCGAATCCGGAACATAAAAGGACAAGTTCCGTGTTAGAAAAGGGTATGGAACATACAAAACGTGTTGCGTTCAAATAATAGCCGTGTCAACAATTGCATGTCCACCGGTTAAAAGACGAAGTAAAAAAAAAAAAAAGGTCTCCGCTCATCTCAAGCTTCGTGTGAGATTTCTGCTGTCTTCAACTATAACCCAGGTGACTTTTCTCTGCTATGAACAATCGTTTCATGGATCACGGTGATACCTCCACCTTGGCTACCCTGACTATGGGTCTCCCAATCACCCTCACCAGCAGTGCAAGTAGGTGGTTGCTGCCGAGAGGTGGGCAAGATCATTTGCTCGTCGCTTATTGTGTTCCATTGGGTGTCGGCTGGAATAGACAGGGGATGGCGGAACTTCTTGCGCTTAGCATAAGCGCCGCCGCCAGTGTCGCCATCCGAGAGAGCATAGGCAGGGTAACTCTGTGATCCATTCCTTGAGGTGATATACAAGCCAGCTCGTCGGGCCACGCGCCGGAACAGAGGGTAGATCATGGGGACATTGCCAATGACGACAGCGACAAAGGTCTCACGACAGGCCCAGCTGCCAGCTTGTTGTGCACCATTGGCACCAGCCTAAATAGACATTAGGTCTTGCGTTTTGCATAATAGTGCTCCCGCTTACTGTCAAGATCAAGACACAGCGAAGAATCCCCGCCATCATGACAAATAGTCCGCCACTGAAAAGAATGAGAAGTTCCAGCTTTTCCCGCCATCTCAATCTAGCTTTGAAAAGCATCTTAGGTACATTAGCCAATGTCGCCTCGGGCATACTTGTAGGCGGACTTACCGGAGCCGGTATGCTGATGAGATAGATGTCGGTCGCAACATTGAGTACCACAGTCACGTAGATGTCGATCTTGGACACGGCCGGCTGACAGTAGTCTAATGGGCTATTAGCTGCTGTTTCCCCCACGCGAACAAAATGGTATCACTCCACCGACGTACTCCCAGGGTCAGGATTGATTTGCCAATTCTTGTTCAACGGACGGCATCCAAAGAGGATCGAACAGATTGTCGCAATATAAGTCCCGGCAATCAAACCATATGCGATGTGAATTCGAACTCGCATGTTTATCAGACCTGCGCTAGATCGAGATTTGAGAGTCAAAACAGAATCACAGAGCAAGAAGATGGGATAAAAGCAAGCTCACGTCAATCGAGAATAGAAAATGGCCATGCATGTCTTGAGCAGCCAAAGCAAAAGAGTGTACAAGGACCAGCCAGCGACCTGAACCTTTGACCCACCCACACGCAGACGATACTCTTCAGAACTTGGTGATAAAGTTGCTCGATTTTCATCGGTCATTGAGTTGTTGGCGAGTCCCATGAACCACGCACCCACCATGTATGCGGCACCGGTTTCAAGCCCGTATACCACCTATACGCATTCTGGTCAGTAAGACAATAGGTTGTATTGCAAAATGGTAGATTCCAACTCACACATGCAAGTAACATCAGATAGTCATCTGCCTGAAAGTTTTTGGGACCAACCATAATCCATCTTGCGGTGGTTCGCAGACCGATGATGACTATAGCCACGCCCAGTAAAGTAAATGCTTCAGTGTTGAAATCACCCATGTTTCTGACTCGGGCTGGGTCTTCTCTATAAGTTTGACAATGAAGAGAAAATAATCCACCTATGGGTGTACATTGAGATAAAGGAAGGAAAGAATCAACAGTGACTGGGAAAAAAGACAGCGGCAGAAGGCAGTATGTCAATGTCCTCCCTTGATCTAATTCGTTGACATTGGAACCAGACCGGACAAAGAAGCAAGCACGCCCTGGTCACTTTACAAACAGTAGCGAACGAGAAGATAGACGGGGAAAGACTGAAAGAAATAATACGAACCCCAAGCCCTCGTTGGCGGGTCTAGGGTGGCTTTTGTCAAAATAAACAGCATGACCCATCGAGTACGGAGTCACTGAAGAAAATCCATAACAGGGCCGGAATCCGCATGCGAGAGTGACAGCTCCGACCGTAGCATCCACCATGTCTGACCGGGTGGCTGCGGACTATCTTTAGAGGTGGGCTAGCTATGCATCCATCAACGGTCCGGGGAGAAGCTTTGAGGTCTCGACCACTCGTGTGTGCCTCGTAAGTGACAGGTCCAGATCACTAAAAGGGATCGGCATTGAAAGAGCCCACACCTCCCTATTCTGACATGCGAATCTCCCCATTGAATAGACGATGGAAAGCGACACGATGGTGGTCGCTTCGTGTCCCGGCTGGTTGCGATCGACGGTGTGACGTGCAAACGGACTAGTCTTGAGAAGTGCACCGTAGCATAGTCGCATGTATTGCAGCATACTGTAGATAGCCAAGCATTATGTTGACGACCCAAGGGCGAGCTGTGTCAAGGCATGATGATCACCTTCTCCACCGACCTCACGTTTCACCTGGTTTGGATGTTGATCGGTCCCGGAGATTGCTCCGAATACCGTATCGAGAACTGGTCGTGACTGATTACTGGCTCCAATTTCTGTCATGGCCTGACACACATTGAGCCTGATTTCATTGCAACATGTGTTCAGGGGAAAGAATGATCAAAGGTACCGGATAAGTCGGGGGGTTCTGGTTCGTCCCGATATGAGCTTAGAACCAACCCTAATTTGCATATATATTTGAATGAATAGCCCGGTCGCTGGCTCTTGACCAAGGGAAATGGCATGTTTCAGGTCCAACAAGTCCAACAATAGTAAAAATCTGTTCATGACGGTAAATTCCCGTTTATCCAGGTGGGCCCGAAGCGGGTCAAAATGGAGTCAACGGGGATGACATCCCGCCCTGCTTCGCCCGTGCCATTAGTTCATCTGGGCTTTGTCAAACTATTTACACGGCGATCGACTGGATAGGCTGGAGATGTAGGCAATCGATAGTGAAATTGAGATTCCAACTGGAGATGGAAGGCTGCGTATTGTTGCTTGTTCCGAACCGTTTGTTTTTTGGGGGGGGGGGGGGGGGGACAATTAGTGTCACTCGAAGGGCTGTTGGCTTCCAAAGCCACTAATGTAAGTGGGGGGAGGTACTCACGCACTAGGTTGCGCCTCCCACGCGCAAGTTCACCCCTAGGAACGCTCCGATGGAGATGAGAAAAAGTGGTCGATCACATAGAGTGCTTTGGCAACGCCGCCGCAACGTGTCAAACGACGGAGCAAAGCTAGATTAGTGAAGATGATCCAAATTCCCTCATGAGGGACACTGGCCTGTGCGGATTAGCTGCATGCCAAGTACCTAGCGGAGGCAAGGGCCCCTGGTATTTGCAGTTCTGTGCATTTACTTGAAAACCGTTAGTAACCCCGATCAATTTAATTACAGTCCCACCAGTCCCCATTCCTGTGCAAAAGAAAGACTAAAAGAAGAAAGGAAAAGGGAGGAACAACAGAAAAACTAAGGCTCCACGCTAACACTTGCTCGTTTACGCTCAGTCTTTAGATCCTGGAGTTCTGTCGCGTTTGTCCACTTGTACATAGCTTCCTGCATCAATCCTGGCTTTGCAACCAGTCAACTCCCACACCCTGCGACTGAACGAAGCTGTCCAAAATGGAGACTGTGGACCTCGTGGTCATCGGCGCAGGTAAGTCGGCTTTGGACTCTTAAAGCGTACTCATTTCCGAAGTCTGACCTGTCACTCCTAGGTTGGAGCGGTCTGTCTGCTGTCAAAACCTATCGTGAAATCAACCCTGATCACGATGTTGTCTTGCTAGAGGCCGCTAGCTCTGTCGGTGGGGTGTGGGCTAAGCATCGCCTATACAAAGGTCTGAAATCGAACAATATGTTGGGCACATATGAGTTTAGTGACTTTCCCATGGACAGTCCGACGTTTGGGGTCACCACTGGACAGCATATTCCCGGTGATGTCATTCAAAAATACTTGGAGGCATACGCACAACACTTTGGCTTTAGAAATTGTATTCGACTGGACCACCGCGTTGAGAGCGCACGACACAATTTGGATGGAACATGGCAACTGAGGGTATCCCACGGGGATAATACGGCAACCTTCAACACCAAGAAGATGATTGTGGCCACGGGTATTACCTCTCAGGCATACCTACCAACATTTGAAGGTCAAGACACCTTCGGGGCGCCCCTATTCCATTGTCGCGATCTCCTGCAGCACCAAGATGCAGTCTTACAAAGTGGAAAGCGCGCGACTATCTTTGGCGGAACCAAATCAGCTTGGGATGCGGCATATGCCTGCGCGACAACCGGCATGAAAGTCGACTGGGTCATCCGAGAGTCTGGCCATGGTCCTACCTGGATGGCACCCCCTTACGTTACTCCCTTAAAGAAGTGGTTGGAGAAGCTGGTCACTACCCGGCTCTTGACCTGGTTCAGCCCGTGTATCTGGGGAGAAGCAGATGGGTACACAGGTATCCGCAGCTTTTTGCATGGGACCTGGCTGGGTCGTAAGATCGTGGACGCTTTCTGGTCTATCTTAGCAGACGATGTCGTGCAACTGAACGGATATGACAAGCACCCCGAAACGAAAAAGTTGAAGCCGTGGGTGAGTCCGTTCTGGATTGCATCGTCGCTCAGTATTCTCAATTATCCTACCGACTTCTTTGAGCTGGTCAAAAACGGCGCCATCCGGGTGCATATTGCCGATTTGGAACGTCTCTCAGATCATACGGTTCATCTTTCATCAGGTGAAGCCTTACCAACCTCAGCACTAATCTGCTCGACAGGTTGGCGCGCTACTCCCAACCTCAAGTTCCTACCGGAGGGCATCGACAGCGAATTTGGCTTCCCCTGGAGCACAGATCCGCTAGACGGAAAGATGATCAAAGCAGCTGATGAAGAAATATTACGTCGGTTCCCCCGCCTCCGCGATCAACCAACCCCGAATCCTCTTTACTGCCCCTTGGATGAGCAGTCCGAAGCGGCTGTACCGCATCCCTTTCGCCTAGCGAAGTTTATGGTGCCACTTTCCCTGGCGAAGGAGCGATCGTTGGCATTCATGGGCATCACCATGACCATTAATACAACACTGATAGCCCAAACGCAAGCATTGTGGATTTCAGCATACTTCCGCGGCAATCTGACTCCGACCGCAACCGAACACTGCCCACCTGCCGTGGTTGCTTCGTCTGATATCAAAACCGAAGACACTGCGGAGCTTGATCTTGTCTGGGAGACTGCTTTGCACTCCGAATTTGGCAAGTACCGCTATCCAGGAGGGTTTGGACGACGCAATCCCGACTTCGTGTTCGATGCGATCCCGTACATTGATTTGATGTTGCGCGACTTGGGTTTATCTTCGGGGCGCAAGCAAGGCCTTCTAGCAAGGTGTTTCCAGCCCTACGGCACGGAAGACTATCGAGGCTTGGTTGATGAGTGGAAAGCTAAGTGGTCCATTCAGTGAATGGTCATATGTGCCATTCTGGTATCCTCTGCTCTACGTCACCGATCTTTTAATTGCCATTTGCGTCAGGCGAGATACCCAGATGATCCCTTTCGTAGCACTCGGATTTCCTATGAATAAATTACTTTACTTCACGGCTTTGCATTTTGAGCATGCGGTAGCGTTCCTCGAATTTCGATCAATATGTGAGTCCGGTGTCTTATAGCTAAATAAATCACAACCCTCCTTTGATCTTCGGCTATATCACCCGCCAGGATCAACCTATTTTATCAAGATAAACTGCTCCAAAACTGCCACTCCACTAAACAAGTGAATGCTTTGGTTTCATCTCGTTTTATCTGGATGTCCTCTGGGGCCAGGGCCACAGATACCCTTCTGTACCACCTCTCCGACCAGATCTCCTGTCCATCGCATATAATTTTCACGATCTCCCGCCACTGTTGCTGTTATCGAAACATTTACACTCTGCTGGCCCTCTGTCCCAAGATTATATTCCAATCAAACCCCTTCTGGAATATCACCCACCCGTGGAGGATACCGTGTGCCTGTAGTTCTAGGAGTACCGGTCGGGCGCACAGCTGAAAGATTTGGATCACAAGTTGATACCAACAGCTCCCCATCTCGGGCAATGTAATTGCTCGGATAGGTAGTGTTGGTTGGATCGTCACGCGCCAGATAACTGAACCATGCGGTTGAACATGGCCCGATTTGACCATGACTTCAGTACCAGTTCTGAACGGATTCCAGAAGGGGTCGATTAGACCAGCTCTGTGACGCCACCAGGATGAGTCTTCACGTCAAGCAGGATCACTCACTTAATCATGATATCCAGGACCCCGGAATTTTAATGGCGATCCTTGAATCTCTCTATCCACCTCACTAATGACATCTAGTATGCGGCTTACCCACCCTAGGTGCGGTGCAACCTCGAGTTTCGTCTTTTCTGCGTGAATGCCACAGAGGAGATGAGGTGGTGCTCGCTGTCATACAATCCATTAGCAACTCTTGCCTCCCCCAAGGTATTATATGATACTTGCCGAAGTGTGAGTCATTCGCTTATGGATCTGCATCTTCTCTGAGGTGATTATCATCTCATATCCAAATGGATTATCTGTGAGCATGGTCCAGCTGAGTCCGGTTGAGTGCCACTCCCCAGAGCTATTAGCACCAGCACTGTCTGTCCCAGCAACAGTTGCGAAAGTCGCCGAAATGAGTCGGCAAATACAGTGCCGTTTGCAAAAGATGCCCATAAATATGCAGTGGTCACCGAAGTCTCAATCGCTTGCAAAAATGGGAATGCAGCGAAAGACGAGGTAGAGAGGGTGATGACGAGCGAGTCGCCAGAGTTGGTCTTTGACACGACATCAAAGTACCACCAGTTGAATACAGAGACATTTATTGAATGAACCCAGGGTGCATCCAAGCTGAACCAGGTCTCAATATCAAGAAGCAATTTGGGGCTCGGAATGTCAAAATTGGCTTTGCTATTTCCGTTCTGGACGGTGCTAGGGGTCTGGAAAGTCCCACTATGGGAATTACTTCTAGTAGGAAATGATGAAGTCTTTCCCCATCACGCCTTAGTTGATCCGACAATGCCGTTGCATGTAGGGTCACTAGAACACACATCAATAGTCCTGGCAAAGGATGGATATAATGGCGCCTCCTGCGATTCTTTTTTTCTTATCTCTGCTATTTTCATGCGGGAGAGAGCGAACTATATAATAAAGAAAGGAAAGTCGACTAGATGAACATCGCAATGAAAATATAATTCTTGTTCGAACTCGATTTAGGTCGATCATATACTTATATGGAAGGGCTCGGGATCTTGGCTTAGGCTGGCAAAGACAATTGCTCACAATGGGTTGAGGTAAGTCTCCCCTTTGCAAAATTCAGACCGGTGGCATTGTACACTGATTCAACCTAACATCCTCAGAGATCTAAGTAAAGCCAATGGCGACTGTTGGTAGATAAGGCCGAGACAGCCATGTGGCTGAGTGGCTGAACGATTGCGGGTCACTCCAGACAGCCCTACAGGAAAAGGCTCAAAGATCTGAAGAGCTTTCTAGGCCAATAAGAAAGGTGATTACTTCCATCAAGTCACAGTTTCGAGCATTGAAGATGATTGGAAACATTTGTTTGTTTTGGGAGTTGGTTAGGTATTTTTTTGAGATTTTTTTTTTGAGATTTCTTCCATGTCATCATTGACGCAAGTTGTTATATACCGACGTTGCCCAACCCAATAACAGTCCAATCGCTGAATCGCTTTAAATAACAGAGAAATAGGGCAGATGCACACGTCACACATGAGTCTGGAAAGCACACATAGTAATCAAACAGAAAACCGGATATTGATAAAAAGCAGAAATCAGCCCGTCCCAAGATGCCCAAGTCACACACCCTTCGCCAACGCAGAGAAAGATAATAATAATGTTTGGCAGGGACACCAGCTGCCAAAGCCTCGATAGATACAAGTATCGGTTGCTTCGATAGAGCAACGTGGATAAAGATTCAGGAGAAAGGTAAGGGGACCAGAGATGCATAGTACAAGGCGCAGAACTCAGTCAGGCCCGTCCATTAAGAATGGGACTACCGTCTTCACTCCGTCCCTCACCCTTGATGTCGCCTCCAGCTTGGGTGCTATTCGCATCCGAATCGCCATCCTTTCCACAGCCTTTGACCAAAATATGTCGCTATTGAGCAAGATTAGTATTGAGACATTGCAGCGAAATGGACAAACATACCTTGAGAGCGTCTTTCCGCGAAAAGCTCTTGTCACAGTGAGAGCAGGGGAAAGGCTTGACGGCGAGATGGATACGTTTGTGGCGCTTCAGATCGTGATTCCGATTGAAGCTTTGGGGGCACTGATCACACTTGAATGGTCGGTCGGCGGCCGGGGCGGACATGCCGTGGGGAGGTGGATGGCCCCCGTACAAATGCTGGGAGCTTGCGACGTGGCCACTGCTGAATCCGGGCAAAAGACCGGGCTGCATGCCCATCATCGACATGGGACCTCCCGGGCTGTGGACGTTTGTCATAACAGGTCCATTCATAGCAGGAAGCGAATAGGATGGCCAAGGCTGGCGGGGGTATGCTAGAGGCGGTTGTCCTCCAGTGGGACTGTGAGCGGGGATGCGTCCTGGGGGATGAATACCGAGTCCCGCAGGACCGTACATGGGCGAAAATCCTGTTTGGTGGGGACTCGCCATGGGCGGAGATGTGGAGTACATGTGCTGGTGTTTCGGGGCATAGGGATCGTTGGAGGAGAGCGGCGCAGGAGAGGTCGCGGGACCCCCCGGGTACATGGCCATAGGTTGTTGGCCGGAGGGAGCCAGAGTTGAAGGGGCAGGTAGAGCTTGATAGGATACTGAAGGAGCCTCATATGTATGGGATAACCCATCTGTGGTTGGTGGTGATGTTATTGACGCGCGATTCTGCATGCCGGACGAAGGCGAAAAAGAGCTTCGTGCGGGATAGACTGCATGGACCCCAGATCCCCAGGTTTGCCCATAAGGGTTAGCCCCTGACCAATATGCCGGTGGCAGGTCAGAAGAAGCGCCCGTTGAAGGCGCCAAGGGCTGGGGTGTGGCGTGTTCGGGTTGATTCGTGGCGGGTGGCGTTAAAAGGTTTCCCACACTCACATTTGCCGGATGGGAGACTGGTGGATGACTGGGTTGCGCGTACTTGGGCGCGGCGGCCAAGGTGAACGGCGGCGGCGGCAGTTCGAAGCTGGGGAGTGTCGGGGCCGCTGGACGACGAACATTCAAGGGCGGAGCCGACAGCGCATCGAGCGCCGTCCCCATAGTTGGAACTGCAAGAGTCGCCAGGTTGGATGGATCACGAACTCCGTAGAACTCGGACGTCTCGTTGGGTTGCAGATTGGGAAGTCCGTTAAAGGAGGTTCCGTTCAGGGCCCAATCTCGATCTAAGGCCCCAGAAGGGCTGGTAGAATCCAGGAGGGGCGATCGACCGCGGACTTTCCAGCGATCGGAATAGAGTCTGAAGACTCGAAGAGGGGAGGAAACGCGGGAAGGGAAAAAAAAAGATCCTAAGTGAGGTTGTCACGGTCGATGGCGCGAGTAGTACATGATAATAGAAGATGTGGGGGGGGGGCAAAAACAAGCCGTGGCGTTGGAAGAGGCGTGAGATAACAAGCGCGGGGGAAACACTTATTATAGTCAGAAAATAGGCCAAAAGGAAGCGAAATCTCTGGAGTCGACGGGAGTCTGGCCACTATGGGGAAAAGAAAGTAGGGAAAGCGAAATATAGATTAACTTGTCAGCAACGTGGTTGACAGGCTCTTTTTATTTCGGTTATATTATTTCGTTACGGATACGAACATACTAATATAACACATTGCTATCCTACTGATTCCTCTCCTTGCGTAAAAGCGCTACTGTACACTATACCGTAGACTAGTCGAAGGAAAAGCAGACAGGAAAACAGAAAAACAGAAGCAAAAATACTAACTATCGCGGTGAGATTCCTACCCAATAAGGGGCCAACAATCCTCGACGCACGGACAAGACCGGAATGGCCAGAATACGAGAGCCATGGAGCAGGCAGAGGCAAGCGAGCTGTCTCGTCCGCCATTCGCTATACTCCGGTCATCTGCTCGTTTCCTTTTTTTTTTCCCTTTTTTTCCCTTTTTTTCCCTTTTTCCTCTTTGGCTTTTTTGGCCCCCAACAGCCGAGACCTGTCATTGGTTTCTTCGGTCATGGTTCCTCATTAACTCTGGCTTGGACTGGCTTGGACTGGCTTGGGCCCCCCCCCCTCCGTGTACTCCGTATCCATACTTTCACTATAGTTCCCTGAGGGAAATTAGAACAAAGAGATATGGCCACCTGGAAGCCAATCGCCTCTCCGACACCCATTCTCTCGGGTTTTCCTCTACGCGATCTTGGAATGTTCGTGGGTCTGGAGCACTCCACCCACGCGAGACAGATCCAGCTACTTCCTCCGTCCTTGCCTCCCCGTTGGGCCTTATCCACCAATCATATAGGACAAAGGTTTCTGTCTCCTGCACGGTCGTGCCAGATGCTTAGAATAGGGGGCAAAATGTGCCCTGTCGATCGTCTACACTGTACTCCAAAGTGATAGAGCTGATCTCGTCTAAGAATAACATAGTTTCTAGATATATTCCGAGGGGGTCTATACAATGCAGAGTACTCGGTACATGTTTCTCGGGAGCTTGGGACATGTCCACTCGCCCGTGCTTGAATTTTAATATTACGATCCGGTCCGCATTACTCCCCCGTATTTGGTCGCAGTCCGCCTTTAAACCTGTAGCCTTTGGGCCGAGGGGGAGGGGGAAAAGATTAATAAAAAAATTAAAAAAAAAAAGGAGGTCGCAGACATGCGAGAGAGGCAGCCGAAGTCGCATTCCTACAAACTGCATACCTCGGCCCTTGAGGTCTACTCTATTGAACACATGACTCCCAATATTGTACATTCTGTGTGGCTGACATCTCTCTAAATTCTAGGATCTGCGAAAATAAAGTCCTCCTCCACTCGACGCGTCTGTAGCCGCCCCGAAACGGACGTGGTCCGACGATCAGTCGATCATGGATGCCCATGCTCCAACGCTGATTCCCTGATCGACATACAGGCTTTCTTCTATCGATGAACCGCTCTGCCGAGGTGCGCAGCCGATTTGCTTAGAGCTCCCATTCTCATGCAAGGCGGCATTTACCAGCCCAGATGTGACAGCGCGCAAGGATCCACTAGGCGGAGGCCTGGTCTCCTGCGTCGGTTCCTGCCGGTGTGGCTTCGGAGAGGCTCACGGTTGGCGTTCACGATCGTCCCCCGGGAATGGCGCTTCGAAGGTTGTTTGGGCATTTGAACTGTCGCACACGGGAGATCTGCGACCATGAGCTTCCTGCAGGGCTGATGGGTATGCTCGGCCTCGGTGGATTTCAAAAGCCCACATTTGCCTCCCTGTGCGTACATCAGAGCTTTTATTGACTATCTTGTACTAGTCGATGGGTCTGACTTGGGGCAAAAGCAATGGAGAACAGATGTCTTCTCTGTTCGACTTGGGCGAAGTGTCTCAGCTCTCCTCGCCATGGGATACAATCTCTGTGTCGGCAGTCTTCGTCCAGAACACGTCCAGTTGGCAGCCCCACGAGCCTCTTTCGGTAGAGGATCATCCCTTGCGGCAGGACACCGAAATGATCATATCCACTTGCAGTGGCGTCTCAAAAGTATTTGATCTCGAGTACTTCGGGGCCTAATTTTTACCTGACCGCTTTTTCTACCGCCTACTTTATTAGTACGTCAAATCTCGCGTTTTCAACGCGCCAGTATATATGCTATAATTTTATCGCGATTCTCTCTCTCTTTCACCCTCTCTCTTTCATCCTCTCTCTTTCATCCTCTCTCTTTCATCCTCTCTCTTTCATCCTCTCTCTTTCATCCTCTCTCTTTCATCCTCTCTCTTTCATCCTCTCTCTTTCATCCTCTCTCTTTCATCCTCTCTCTTTCATCCTCTCTCTTTCATCCTCTCTCTTTCATCCTCTCTCTTTCATCCTCTCTCTTTCATCCTCTCTCTTTTTCATCCTCTCTCTTTCATCCTCTCTCTTGCTATAACAATGCCTCCTGTACGCTCTAAGCCTAAGCCTAAATCTGGCGTCTAACCCACGAAACAAGCCTTCGAAAATAGAGGGAAATGTAGCGTCCGTCTTTGACGCCTTTACACGCTAAAAGATGTCTACGCTAGGCTCTTCAATGTCAATATTTTACGTCGGAGGATTGGGCTCGCGTCTATGAGTCTAACGAATATAAGCGCCTATTCACACGGCATATATTTGCACGGGACGCTTCAAATAAGCCCGAGTGCAATATCATAGAATAGCCTCCCTATTCGCCTGACTTGAACCCAATCGAGAAACTCGAGGCGATTTTAAAAGCCGAAATTCTGAAGCGTCATCCTCAGCTTATGGAGCTTCCCAATAGCGTATCTACGTTGTATTTGCTACTAGAGGCTGCGCATGGAGCCTGGGAAGGTCTAGAAATTGATCTATTTAAGCATCTATCGGGAACAATGCCTCATAGGATAGCTGATATCATTGAGTAAAACGGGTGGCATACTAGCTATTAAATCGCATTCAATTTTCAGAGGTTTCTGCTGGCAGTATTAAATATATGGGTCCTGGCCCGAAGTACTCAAGGACAAATACTTTTGAGACGCCACTGAGTAGATGCCTCTTTGGTGACTTTTCTTTACAGACATCCCAGGTGTGAGGATATTTGTTTTCCCTATCTCCGTTTGGCAGAACGCTATATCGCTGGGACTTGCCCTCTTCATTGTCGGGGTGCTGTTTCATTTCAGTTGTCTGGTATGACAACTTCTGCAGTGAAACCCTCGTATGCATAATTAAGATGATACTATAAGGACCTAATAATGCTCGTGGTGGTGCTTGTCTTTCCTTTACAACCTCCTACGGGTCGTTTCTTGGACAGACTCGTACCAACATTGTAAACGAAATAAGCCGAGCGTGTAACATGGACTTACTCGAGCTCAATCGCCGACCTCGATGCTGCCTTGTAGATTGCTTAGTGGGTCTCGAAGGGGTGATGAATGAAGCCCAGATATATATTTCCTATAGATCGGATGCCGACCGTCAAACATAATCACGTTGACCAGAGAGAACCATAGTCAAAAACAACCAAATGAACGAAAACAAGTTGCACATATGAATACAAATCCCTATGAATATAAAACCCTTAACTGTTCCAGCTTGTCCCGAATTGCCGAATGCGGCTCCGATGACGTCGACCGGCGGGGTACCCTTTCCCGCCTCACGTCGAATTTACATCTCGTTCACTTTCTTATAACTTGTATGATCCTCAATTACTTCAAACTATCTGATATCCACTTTCTGGACCTTTGCAAATAAACTACGCCTAAACACTTATCCTCGGTGCTCACCATGTCTGGAATCAGCAAGGCCTGTTGCTCGTGAGTGAAGTCTGAGGCATATTGCAACCTAATATTCTTTCGAGCTCTACTGACCCAGTGCATAGTATCCCCCCTGTTGTCTCCAAGGGCTACCAGGCCAAGGGGGAATATAAGACAATCAATGGCCTGAAGACCTGTAAGCTAGCACCATGCCAAACCTACGATACGAATGCTAATAGATCCCAGACGTTACCGGTCCTGAGTCGGCCTCCAAAGCTATCTTGGTCGTGTACGGTTAGTTATTCCCAGGATATAGCGAAGAACAACCCGGTAACATGAGTGTATAGACATCTTCGGCTTCTTTGACCAGACTATCCAAGGTGCCGACATCCTTGCTACCTCGAACGACCAGAAATACCGCGTTTTCATGCCCGACTTTTTCGAGGGCAGCCCCGCTGACATCTCGTGGTACCCGCCCACCACCGACGAGCACAAGGAGAAACTAGGAAACTTCTTCTCAACCAAAGCCGCCCCTCCCAACACCCTCTCCAAGATCCCCGGCGTGGTCGCCGAAGGCAACAAGCTCGCACCGGGCGGCAACTTCCAATCTTGGTCAATCCTCGGCTTCTGCTGGGGCGGCAAAATCGCCTCCCTGTCCTCTGGCGCGGATAACAAGCTCTTCAAGGCCGCTGTGCAATGCCACCCTGCTATGGTCGATGCGAAAGACGCGAAGGCTGTGAACATTCCTATGGCGATGCTCGCTTCAGGCGATGAGCCGGTGCAGGATGTCAAGGATTTCGAGGCCAACTTGAAGGTGCCAAAGCACGTGGAAACTTTCTCGACTCAGATCCACGGCTGGATGGCTGCTCGGTCGGACTTGGAGAACCCCGAGGTGCGCAAGGAGTATGAGCGTGGATACAAGACTGTTCTTGAGTTTTTCCACCAACACTCGTGAGAGGCGACGGCAGCCGATACATAACGATCGACTTTTCAGTGAGACAAGGAATATAATTCCAATTGGAACCACAACCAGAATGATGGAAACACCTACTTCATATGTAGTTGTAGAATCCCGATACCCCGGGGAATCATATGACCGTAAAGCCTTATCTCTATTGAAGGTCCAGGTATAAATCCATGAATCTCGGCAATTTTTGAATGTAAAGCCGATGATCGTATTGCACTAGCCGAGACTTACCGGCCATTCGAAATTCCGCTGTTTGCTACATCACCTTCGCCCTCCTTGGCATTCACATACCTTGCTTTGTCTTTTCTACTTGATTTGAACCCTACTGCTACCTTGCCACATGTCTTCACTTGCAGGAGACGAGATCCCTTGTGGAACTCGTCTCCCGGCCGCATGCGAGACGTGTCGAAAATTAAAGGTAAGCTTATTGAATCATGCCAAATCTTCCTCGCTTATAAAACATTTGTAGATGAGGTGTATTCGACCAAGAAATCAGCAGAGTCAGCAGGAGAATAGTTCAACAGAACCCTGCGAACGCTGCATACGCACCAACCGAGCTTGCAACATTCCAAAGCCACGACCTCTTGGGAGGAAGCGCGGGGCACTTGGTCGTTACCAGGGCTTCGAAAAGGCGTATCGAAAAATGCAGTCTGAGCTTAAGAAGACCAAAGTCTCTCACGCGACTGAGGATGTCGACGAAATTGGTCATGTCATTTCTGGAGAAGAGCCTATCATGGAGCATTTGTTCCCCAGCCACCCATCCGGGACAGTCGACCCTAGACAGTCATCTCCGGCAATGAATGATGGGACCCTACATGCCTGTCTTAGTCCAGGTTACCCGACCGTCCAGGATGATCAGTCCCGCGTAGACCTTATTTCTCATTCGTTCCACAGTGGAAGTACCAACCAGACCAACCAGGAGCGAACCAGTAATCCCCTAGCCTTGCTAGCTGATGCATCAGACGCCGCACAATCATTGGAATTGTTTCCCGTGCCTCATAATAACTTACCGGAGGTGAACGGCGGATCCTCCGCCACGAAGTCGTCTCAGACAAGTCAAGTCAATGGCGCAAGTCTGAGCCGTCAATTGCTTCATCGGCCAGGTTATGTGTCCCTTGGACTAAAGCTGAACAGAAATACACTAGAGCAAGGACTAGATGCTATCCTCGCCCCGTCTGTGGTCGAATCCCGGTACTCAAACTATTTCAGCACTGCTCCCCGGGCGCCTCTCCGCGACATTGGGCCCGATATTGACCCAGTCGACTTAGGACTAGTTACAATGGAAGAGGCCTGCCACTTATTTCCAATGTATGGCATGATATTCCGCATGATGCCCTGTTTCTCATCGCTAATACATTGAAGGTATTTTTCCCGCCTGCATCCAGTCAATGGAATCCTCGATCCGATGCTTCACACCCCTGAATTCGTGCGTTCTCAATCAGCATTATTGTTCACATGGATACTTGCCCTAACTGCTCAATTTGATCACGGGTCAGCGTCAATCGCCAAGCGGCTGCGGCTTCATGGGGAGAAACTCTCCAAGCATGTTCATACCTGTGGCTTCAAATCAGTGGAGGTTGTTCAAGGATATTACATATCTCTTCTATCAGCCACTCCTGCAGAAACATTGGCCCAGGAAAGATCCTGGCTCTACACTATGTATGCTTTCGGTTTAGCCGCCGAATTGGGCTTGGATCAGGAATCCTGTGCCAGGCATGCGAATGCTCCCTGTTTTGGATCACCCATATCTGCCGCAAGGCACCACCCACGCGAAAACATATCGAGTTTGCCTGAGTATCCCGCAGAAGATCCAATCAATCTTCAGCGCATGGCACGAAATCGGGAAAGAACATGGCTAAGGATCCTCTTATGGGAACGAGCAAACTCTGCAGCATGTGGTCGGATACATACTTTCCCGGAGACCGATTTAACACACAATATTGAGGGATGGTGGTTACATCCCCTGGCTGATCCAACGGACAAGCACACATGTGCATTCATCACCTTGAGGCAGAGCTTAGCCGCGCTACACAGCAACCTCAGAGACCAGGCGCAACTGGAGCATGTGAATTCTCATTGGGTACGAGAGCTGGTTGATTTAAGCATGCAGCCTTGGTGTACCATATGGCTCCCGCGATCTGGTCTTGAACACATCCAGTCATCATCGGAAAATCTGTCCGATATCTTCCTTCGTTACGTCTATTACCATGGTAGACTCTGGACTTTGTCATTTGCCCTTCATGGTTCTATAAATGGTGGCCATCATTTGGAAGCAATCCGAACAGACTGTTTTGAAGCCGCCGTCAGCTGCTGTGAGATAGCAGTACATGATTTGGACGCCATCGGGGAGCCATTGTACTGCATGCTTGCCCCGACTTGGGCAATGATATCCTATGCTGGTGTGCTAGCATTACGACTATTCCCCTTTCTTTACGGGCCCCGTGTTGGAAACGAGGTAGAGCTTCTTGCCTTGCTTGGCCAAGTCGCCATGCACCTAGAGCGTGCAGGCAAAACGCCGTCGCATCGTTTCGGGATTGCTGCATTGCTTGGACAGCACATCATGAGAATAGTGAAAGCCAGGGGGATATGGCTGACAGACTCAGCATCTGCCGAGCAAGCAGAAGATTCGTATAGCAAAAGCTTTGTTGGAAACCAGAGGTCATTCATACCACCACAATCTCCATGTGTGCGGGCTCATGATGCTCTGATTTCGGAACATGACCCGTTCTTGACGACGGCATCTATGTCTACCGAAGGTGATCTAACGGGTGAAAGCTTTGCTGATTTTTTTAAAGAGACGTTTGGACCGGGTTTCAGTGGTGTATTCTAGTATAACAAAATTTCACAAACCGCTCGAAATAGAATTTCAAGATAAGGATCTGCTACAAACTCATATGATGTATGTGCACAAATTTGCCCTGTCAACTAACATTGAACGCGTGAGACAAAAATAACCGGCCTTGAGATCAATCATAAAGAGCCAAACAAGTGGTTATAAATATACATGGGTGAATGATTCACACTCTGAAATTGTAGACACCGGACTTTTGCAAACACAAACCGGCTTGACGAGCCTCGGTCCAACCGGTCACTTCTGGAATGTCGGCACATTAAAAAAGTGACCGGTTTGTGGAGGTGGCGTTCTGGTGACGGGTATTCAATCATCCAATGCTTTAATACGCAAAGAGCCATCAATTCGTGATAACCCAACCATGCATATTTCCTGGCCTCCATCCGGAGGTAATGCGTTTGGAATTGCTACTCTGTCTCTTGGTAACTGGCGAGAACACAAACTCGAACCACGTCTTAAGGCTGCAGCAGAAGCAGGATATCAATGGATCGACTTGTTTGACGAGTGCTGGGCTGCATACCTAGAGGAACATGACTTGCCTGGGGATCAGCTATGGGAAGCCACACCAGAAAATCTTCACATTGCTCGCAAACTGGGTGACTTAGTTAAGTCTCTAGGAATGCGCATTGCCTGCACCCAGCCTCTCCGGAAGATCGAGGGAATCAAAGATCCCACTGAACGCCGGACCACGCTCAACCTGGTCGCGAAACGATTTCCATTTATGCGAGCCTTTGACACCGACCTTGTCTTTATGTGCGCCAACATTCGGACGGACAATGGGGTGACATCTGATCTCAAGACGGTCGCGAGAGACCTTGCGGAGCTCGGCGACATGGCAGCGGTATATGCAAAAGCTGATGGCGGACCTATGCTGAAAATTGGATATGAAGGCCTATCTTGGGCTGTGCGCAATACATGGTCTGCTTCATGGGAAGCAGTACAATTCGCGAATCGTCCAAACGTGGGATTGATTGTGGATGCCTTCAATATTCTCGCTGTCGAGTTTGCAGATCCCTACAATCCTGCTGGCCACGGGCGCATATACCCAACCCTTGAAGAATCTCTCGAGGTTCTCGCTGGATCACTTGCATCGTTAGCCGCCACAGTACCAGGCGACCGTATTTTCTTTTTCCAATGCGGCGATGCTGAATTGATGAATCCATCGAGCTTCCTTCCACCGACGGACCCTGAAATACCCCCATTACTTCCGTGGTCACGAAGCCATCGCCTTTACCCTCTTGAGGAGTCCCGGAGTGGTTATATGCCAGTGGAGCTTGTCGCAGCTGCAGTGCTCGCTACAGGGTACCGAGGCCCAATTTCACTTGAAGTATTCAATAGCTCCCTCAGTATACCTGGACAGAGTGTTCCAGAAGAACATGCCACTAGGGGAATTGAAAGCTTGCAGAAGCTATTGGAGACAACAACAGCTCTGAATCCTTTCTGGTATGGGCAGACTGAAAAGGAACAGGCCATTACGCAGGTGATACGACGCTTACAACCAACGATGCACCGGCTGTGAGATCTTAGCGGACTTCAATGCTGATTTTATCAAGTGCAGCTGGGTTGGATAGATGACAGCTGCAGCATATCTCTTTGGCTAGCGAGATGCATGTTTGGAATCATTCAAGTGTGTATTATATTGAGTCGAAGCCCTCCAGCTGGGTCTCTCTTCATGCTTCCTTGTCGTCGGCAGCAGTGCAAACAATAGCGGATATGTAGTCGTATTCGGATTGAAATTTACGGGCGCAGAGCGGCGAAAGCGATTGGCCTGATTCTGGACCATTGACAGTGTCCAATATATACTCCATAGATATACTGTGGTTACTGAGCTCCCGAGCTGTCTTGGATCCCCACATCCTCTCGGACTCTTCCGCTCAAGTTCTAGGCCTTGCAAACTTGAGTGTTCTCTTGAGCAGGTACAAAGACAATATAATATAAACAAAATCTAAGATGTAATCCGAAGGGAGAGAATGGCGGGAATGAGATAGTCCAGAGCTTCGGCAGGCTCCGATCATTATTCAGCTTGGGCTCCCCTTCCCCGCCATTCCAACTTCTCTCTCCTTTCATCTCTCTGATCTTTTACCTATCACCATGGCTACTCTCAAATCCGGCGATACGTTCCCCAGCGACGTTGTCTTCAAGTCGGTAGCTACCTCTACGCCTCAAGAAACACGCTAATCTTGGCACAGGTACATTCCCTGGTCTGAGGAAAGTAACGACATCACTTCCTGCGGCATTCCCATCAACTACAACGCCTCCAAGGAGTGGGCCAACAAGAAGGTTGTCTTGTTCTCGGTACCTGGTAAGTCAATTAGTCCCTCAGGTCACGTCCGTTCCCTAACCGGTGGTTGAATAGGCGCCTTTACCCCAACTTGTTCCGTCAACCACGTTCCCGGATATATCAAGAACCTGCCAAACCTGCGAGAGAAGGGAGTGGATATTGTCGCTGTCGTTGCCTTCAATGATCCCTTCGTGATGAGCGCCTGGGGAAAGGCAAACCGAGTTCGCGGGGACGAAATCGTGAGCGCCCCACTTGGCTCTTTGGACCATATTGACGGTGACAGCTTTTCCTGTCGGACCCGGATGCGAAGTTCTCCAAAAGCATCGGTTGGGCCGATGAGGCCTCAGGACGCACGGGCCGATATGCGATCGTTATTGATCACGGCAAGGTTGGCTATGCCCAAATCGAGACTGAACGGGGTGCTGTCAAGGTATGGGACTTTCTTTATAGGCCAAGTCTTCCTACTGACATTTCTGTCTGCAGAAATCTGGCGCCGATGCGGTTCTTGCCTCGCTGTAGATACGAACGCAATAGATTATTCAACTCCACAATTGCAGATACAATTCATACTTGCCACTTGCCCCCTAATTCTATCATGAAAGCTCCCAGCAACCTTGACGTTATTCTTCAAATCGAAAAGAACAACAAAAGCTTTAGAGGGGATCGCAACACTGGGTGTAGTTCATCTTTCTGTCTCGCCGTTCAAGGCATACAAGGTATATACAAAAGAGACAAGTCTTTTATCTAACAGTGGGTAATCAAATGCAGCTCTATTGTGCCAAACGGGCTGGTGGTATCGCGGAAATAGAATAAAAAAAAAGCAATCTTCTGGTCCGTTGATGGCGAAGATGAGGCTCAAGAGATGTAAAGGGCGCGATCATGGAGATACAATTCCATACCAGCATTGGAACAATCAATATGCAACGGTTCAGCAGCCTGGAAAACCTTATTCTTGATCGCGCCGGCAGAGAATTCTGATCCGGGGCTCGTAGTAGCGCCATCGTCGTCAGACCTGACATTCTGGAATGCACCCTCAATATCGATGCGACTAAGCTCTGGGAACCGAGTCCGTCGGTTCTTGATCACGGTTTGCAATTGAGAGACTAGCATCCCCAGATTTCTCTCCTCACAACCTTCAATGTAAAGTGTCGCTAGCGACGAAGGAAGGCAATCCAATAGGGGCGTTGTTGGTTCATTTTGGTATCGAATATCCAGTAGATTCGGCAATCGCACGCGCAGTTCTCGCAGTGCAGTGAAATCGACCAGCGATCCAAACCATTCATCGTGTGATTGATTAAGGCCAGCGGCAGTAAATGGGAAATGACTGCCATAGTGGTCTAGCCATAGTGTTTCGAGACTCCTCTTGCTATGGCTGAGCGAGCGATAGAAAGCCGAGGGCTGGTATCCATGAGAAAGGACGTGTGAGTCCGAGTGTTGATACTTAAAAGACTTGAGATCTGCACACAAGGCAACCAAGGCCTCCATGCCATGATTCCCGCTACTTGAACGCAGGTCGATCTCAGCGATTGAAGAGAAGGCCGCCCTAGGGTTCTGTGTCGTTTGCTCGGGAGATGTGATCGCGATGCTGGGATCCACAACCGAGTTGGCGATTATGACACGGACGGATGGCAACTTGAAAAATGGCAGGAGAAGAGTTGACACTGATTGATGTTCTTCGCTTGCACCCCAGTTGCCATCGTGGTTGAGATCATCCCGGTGATTCAAGGAAACCTCTTCCAGGTACTTGAAAGGCGGCTGCATAACAAAAGGCTCTTCGCATTGGACGGCTCTCCGCATGATCTGACCCAACCAAGGGGACGTGATAGAGTAGGCAACCTGGAGCTTTCGCAATTGACTCAATAGCGGGAGTATCAACGCAGTCCAGGCATCTCCCAAGCCTTTTCCGAGATCCTCGATCCATTGCTGACTCTCAATGTCCGAGTGTGACACGACGTGTAGCCAGTCGTTCAATTGTTTTGAATCTGTAATTTCTTCATGCTGCTCTTCTGAAACGATGTTCGCATGCCAGTCACTCAAGTCCAGCTCCCGGACGGCCCGCGTAAGAACCGGTCGGTTGAGGATGGCATGTAGAAACGAGCTGGCATCGTGCCAATTGCGCAAGGAAACTCTGCGGTAGACAAAGGAGAGAAACAAGTCGTGAAAATGACGAGAGACGAAGACAAGATTCCAACGGTCTGCTTTCTCTTCCAGTTGCTCGCCAACCAAGAGCAATACGTCATTGGGGAGTGCCACCTCCATGAGGCATTTGACCGAGAGTATGCTCTACAGGAATCACAAAATAGACGGCAAAGAAAGGAACCAAAATCTGCCCGCCATTTATAAAAAGCCTCTTATCGAGAGTGGCGTGGAAGATCAAATTTGATCCACGATCCATTGGCTGCGGTGGAGCTGCGACTCGCCCTAAGAGGCCGTGAGTGGTTTTCCGAAAAACTTTGACTGCATTTGCAGAGATGAAGGAATTGAGCTTAATTCTTTTGGCCTTTTTTTCTTTTTATAGACCGGACAAGTTCTGCCTCACACATCCAACATTCCTGACGGGTCGCTTTTCAGCCCTTCGAACCTGGAGCAATGTCGGGTTCACTACGGGAATAGCCGAATTCATGGAGGTGTGGAGAGGCTGGGCCCGAGAGACAGAGATTGACGCTCACGGTGCCACTTGGGCGCATGAATAGCCCGACGCTGGAGATGGATTCCGACGATCCATATCGGGTATAGAAAACAGGCATGTGAATATCCATGGGATATCTGCCGATGTAGACATTCTGTATCCAGCACAGCGTAATACGACACTTTCATTCACTAAAGAAAGCGAGTCCTTAGTGAACGTAAGGAGTATATCGAAGGTCCGCGATGCGGCGGGGTGGACGGGGATATGACGGAGTTAGACGTGGAGTTGTATCCGACCGAAGCCCGGACACATGTCGAAAGGCACTGTGATCGACAGGATTACATGTAGCCCAAGGGCAAGTCCTGCATAGTTAACTTGCCGCGCTAGCCCGCTCACAAGGTTCTTCCCCTTGATGTCCTTGCCTTGTTAGCGAGCCACTCACATGGATCCAGGGGAGATTCGAGGGACCAGGACCGAGCGATCTGTCGGTTGACCGGCAGTTCCAAGATATGCGAGGACATCTCACCCGCTGGACACAGCATTTGGCCCAATATAGAAGGCGCCTCCTGGGATGGGGATCACGCCGGCTGGCCGCGACGCTCTGTTTGACCAGCCCCAGTGCGATCGCTTTCGGAATAACAATACTCAGTCACCGGAAGATCTTCAAATTAAGCCTTTAGTTTGGTTCTACAACTTTTTGCCATTGTAGGTGTGCCATGATTTTCCAACCGAGAATGATTTATGGCCGAGCAGCATCGTGTGGGTCCCAGGGAGATCATATCCACGTCACGTATCATCGCGGCAGCGTGGAGGCTCTATCGAAAAGACAAAAAATCAAAATATTCAAAGGGTCTTGTCAGAGTTTGTATCCTGATAGCTATCGCAACCTAGGGACTTAGGGCCTGGTCGATCAAGACATGCCTTTGGTATACAGGTCTAATGAGGGATAGACAGAAAAGCAGAAAGAACAAAAAAAAAACTCACGATCCATTCACTGGTACTATCTACAGCTAGTATTTTGGCTGGGAGTTCAAGACGTCCTATACGGACAGAACCCATGGTACATGAAGATGTAGAGTTTGAACGCGAGAAATTCACAGACATACAAGTCCGAGGATGATGATATCGGATTAAGTAGCAGCAGCAGCACTGGTAGCACTGGCGGAGCCGGCTGCTGCTGCGGAGCTCTGGACGTCCAAGTACCACATTTCTAGAGCTGACAGGACCACTAAGATCTCCCAGATTTCCCCTAAAGTACCAGTCAGCCCACTGCCCATGAAGGCGAAACGAAACCCCTTGGTCATGCTCCATGAAGCATTGTGCGCTATTACAGCCACAACCTCTAAGCCATCACTTGTATAACCTCTTTCACGCTCCTTCCTGCTTCCTCCTGCTGTATTCATTGGCCCTGTCAGTCGTACCAACTTCCAGCCATATGAATGCCCGGAAAGTTCCTTGATTTCATTCCCATGGCTCTGACGCCATTCGAAGGCTTCCCTTGATGTCCCTTTGGGGCCCACGGAGGCTGTGAATGTGAAGGTGTGAGACATTTTCTTCAGTGTCCCGGGGACCATCTCTTCCACAATGTCATTGTTGTGTTGAGATTCTGGACGTGTTGGCAGAGTGAGCATGATGGGTCTGGTTCTGCCCCACCTGTCGCCACGGGCAGTCGCTATTACTGGGTGTTTGTCAGTTGGGCCGTCGTGCAAAACGATCGAGGGTTTGTTGCTGAGGACGGTGGTGTGTGATGAAACCGCATATAGCTTTTCATCTGCGGTCGGCCCGAGGTGGAATATTGTGGTTAGTTTCCATTGGAAGTAGCCGTTCATAGCAGATGGAAACTTAGTTGTTGCGTTAAGAGTTGGTTCACCGGTTAACCGATTGTAAGATGGTGCGACATTCCGTAAATCGCGCCCTGCAGTCTGGGGGTCATGTTCTGTATAAGGTGGTGGTCCTGTATCTCCAACGGGATCACTTGCAGGGGCACAGGATTGCTCCGTCACTTTGCCCATGATGTGTAGACAAAAGGGATGAATGTCAAGAAGACCAGCGGGACAGACCCGAAAAGCGGTACCGCGTGGTAAGCCCCCACTTTTCCAAAAAAACACAGAGTGACCGCCACAGCGTCACTTATCTCCGACATTGTTCGCGTTCTCTACGCGTAGGAACCAAGTAAGGTCATATTTAGCCGGTTGCAGCTCGTTGAGCAATTTTTTTCGAACGAAAAATCCACACATCGCGTATATCTTGATTTAGAGAGTTTAGTATTCCGTAGTGTAGTCTCAATTTTAGTGGGTATGCGAAGGCCGACAATACATAACGTCTTTGTACCCGCGCAAGAAATGTAGACATGGGATGAGATCTCTGTGGAAAAGTATCACTTCAGTCGACCAGAAAAATATGTCCCCAAGTTGTGATACCTTTTAAGCAAAGTAAAGTAGTAGATTTTTCTTAAAGCCGCTGGCGTTAGACAGGACACGGAGGTGCGATCGACCCATATCGTACTAACAGACGTATCAAGTGGAGCAAACAGTATGTCGAACAGCACAGGAGAAAATGTTGGTTTCCCCTTACAGCGGCATCGCTGGCTGCATGTTTTAGCCAATACCCTAGACAAGTTCACCCATGCTGTCATCATGATACCCGTCATATCTTGATACAATTCTGAATGCGAGTACAACTATACTACCTGAGTAAAAAAAAATTACCCAGAGAGAGTAGTTGTTCCCTGTAATTGTTGATTGATAAGGTGCCAAAGATGAGGTGGTCGCTAAGACTACCGACCGTGATTTCCTAGAAGTTTGGTGCCTATACAAGATATGACAAAGTATTGATTAATCTGTGGTGAGATACAAACATGACAACCTAATCTAACAGATTTTTGCTGTATTAAAGAACGCTGTTTGCCATCTTGAATGGCTACCATATTGGTTTACGCCCCTTTCTGTGAAGCCTTATTGCGACAACAGCTAAGAAAAACGTGCTTATCATAAAATCCTTTGAATGCCGTTCCCTAGATATCTCTCATTACTATTTTACATTAACACACTATCAAAACCGAGAGAAAGCAAAAAAAAGTATATAGAACAGGCCCCTATACCTTATGGCACAGATTGACGAATCTCATAATCGGTCGGGAAACTAACGCAACATGTTGACTATATGGCGCTATTTCTAATGACCTAGTGCGAGTAATATTCTGGGAACTCTACCGAGAAAGGTCAGGTATTCGTTTTTTCCAAAGAAAAAGCCTTGCGCCGGAGCACTGGAAGCAAATACAGTAGGGCGGAGCGAGTATCTTGCCTGACATCTTGCTTGTGATCAACCAATCGCAGTTATTCAATAGTCTCAATGCGCCGTACAGGGCTCTGCTATGCCAAGACACTTGATCAGGCCGTTGGCGTAATCTGAAATCCATGAAGACGTCAGAAGACATACTGAGCCCCTAAATGTCGTGAAAGTAGGCAATGAGCCAAGCAGAGCGAGGGAACGGGGGGCGCATGGGGCGTCAGCCCACCAAAAAGCCACGGAAGTGGTCAGATATTGACTGAAATCAAGTGATACCATAGGGAGTGACCTCATATGGGGAAAGGATCGCTTATTGTGGATGCGCTGTGTCAAATGAGAACAATATGCGTCTTCCCTAGGACAAGGGTAGTGGTGGTCCAAGGGTGCATCTCAGTCGCATGTGCCGGTTGCCAAGGTCACCTACTGCCAGTGACCGCCACAGCCCGGTTGTCGGCTTGCTGGTGGATGCTTGGTCCTCCACGGTGGAAATTTAGTCTCTCCCTTGCGTTGTGTTCTGAGCATGAAAGGAGGGGGAATGAAAATTGACTGGTCAAATAAAAGTACCCATGCCTATCCCCAACAACCTTACACAAATCAGGCAAATGTCCGGCCCAGTGCCGACGCGATGAAACCATGTGGCTGACAACACGACACCTGGAGTTGCATGCACTAGCGGCTAATCGGCATCTGACCACAACGCAATTTAGGATAGAGGATATGATTGGCTTAAAGTCAAGGATTTCGAAGTATTAGTATAGGTGAAAGGATCTGGGGTCCGGGGAACAGCAGATATCCCCGCATCCCCATGCTCTATTGAGTTTTGCGGTTTTTGCTTTGTTTGCTTTATAATAGATCTTATATATCTGACCCTTTGTCCTGCGTTGTTCTGTTGACTCTTGATGCTCATCTGCTTGCACTTAATATTGGTCCATAATGGGCTATAAGATTACAAATATTTATGTCATCACCACGGTGGCCGTCATTGGCGGTGCGTTGTTTGGTTTTGATATTGCTTCCATGTCAGCCATGTAAGCGTGTTCATATTTACTCTATGTTGTTGCTTGATCACTGACAGACGCAACAGCCTTGGTACCCAGCAATACAAATGCTTTTTCAATCAGACTGGTACAAAGGAGGGCAACTGCGGCGGCCCGACATCTGCAAACCAGGGTGGAATCTCAGCTGCAATGCCTGGTGGGTCCTGGGTTGGAGCTCTTCTTTCAGGATTCATTACCGACTGGCTGGGTCGCCGTGGCGCAATTCAGTCTGGCTCGGTAATCTGGTGCATTGGCAGTGCCATCGTCTGTTCCTCCTTTAGCATAGCTCAGCTCGTCGTCGGTCGTTTCATCAACGGCCTCTCTGTCGGTATTCTCAGTGCTCAGGTACCGGTTTACGTCGCTGAGCTGGCTCAGCCTAGTAAGCGTGGTAAGGTGGTAGGCGCGCAGCAGTGGGCGATCACCTGGGGCATCTTGATCATGTTTTACGTATCCTATGGCTGCAGCTTCATTGAGGGTCCTGCCGCTTGGCGAACCCCATGGGGCCTGCAGATAATTCCCGCGGCTCTCCTATTTTTCATGGTATTTCTCTTGCCAGAAAGCCCCCGTTGGTTAGCGAAGAAGGATCGTTGGGAGGAGGCCCACGAAGTTCTTGCTGGGGTCCACGCTAAAGGAGACCGCAATGCCTCGTTTGTCCATACCGAGCTACAGGAAATTCGTGAAATGGTCGAATTTGAGCGTCAAAACAAGGATGCATCATACCTGGATCTTTTCAAGGGAAACATGATCTATCGGACCCACCTCGGTATGTTCACGCAGATTTGGTCACAGTTGACCGGCATGAACGTGATGATGCTCTACATTACCTACGTATTCGGCATGGCTGGCCTCACGGGAAATAACAATCTCGTCGCGTCCTCGATCCAGTACGTGATCAATGTCGTAATGACCATTCTGGCGTTGGTTTTCATTGACCGTTGGGGCCGCCGCACGCCACTCCTGGTCGGCTCTACCCTTATGATGATCTGGATGTTTGCCAACGCTGGAATTATGGCATCTTATGGTAAGCCGGCTCCACCTGGCGGCCTCCACAACGTCGCAGAGCAGTCATGGGACCTCAGTGGTTCACCCAAAGCTGCAAAGGCAGTCATTGCCTGTACCTACCTTTTTGTCGCCAGCTATGCGCCAACTTGGGGTCCTGTCAGCTGGATTTACCCCCCTGAACTATACCCTCTGCGCCTCCGTGGCAAGGCTGTGGCATTGGCGACATCTTCAAACTGGATCTTCAACTTTGCTCTTTCCTATTTTGTTCCCCCTGCCTTCGAGAACATCCAATGGAAGGTGTATCTAGTCTTTGGTGTCTTTTGCTTTGCTATGACGGTCCACGTCTTCTTTGCATTCCCGGAAACCGCCGGAAAGACACTTGAAGATGTCGAAACCATGTTCACAACACCTGGCCTCAAGCCCTGGAAGACCACCGTGCAATTCCACCATGTTAGGCGACTGGAACAAGGAGCTACTCATTCAGAGAAACTCGCTGATCTCCAAGCCGAAGAAGGCAATGCTCAGGTGCCTAAGTCGGTAGCAAAAGAGACTTCATTCTCCCAGGCTGAATAGAGTCTAATTTTGACACTCAGCAAAGTACTTAGTGTGTTGTCTCTAGCATTTCGAAGCCAAAGTCACCTTCCTATATCCGATTCGACTGTCTACTCAATTAGTTTTGGTTAGTGGTGGAGCTGAATGAGCTACCTTGCCGTAAAATCCTCATATAATGACTATTAGGTTAACAATATTGAATTATTTCTTTAATAGCCAAAGCCAATATCAAATTCAGTTTCCTTTCTATAAGTGTAGCTTAAAAGTATGCCTACTTAAGGTTAACTGATCATTACTGATATCGGCCTATCTAACAAATTGCCACCAAGTCTCCTGTAATGACTGTAATGAGATGCAAAAAAAAAAAAAAAAAAAATCAATGAATAAACGTTCACCAGAATCTCAATTTTCCGGCTAGATAGATAGATGTAGACCAGCTTATGACGAGTATTGTAAATTTAGCTAATCAGATCTACACACGAATTCCACATCCATTATCAACGCAGGCATATTGACCAGTAGATCAACAAATATTCTACTTCTTACTTTGAGGTCGAATAGGGAGCTACGTAGCTCAGTTCTATCCATGCAGTTCTATAAAATAACTCATCAAATCGCTGTGTCTTTTTGGCGATGGTAAACATTGCTTGCAAACCTAATGATGAGTCTATGGAATGGCAAACTGTGAATCATGCACATGTTGAGGTGTGAATATAAGAGTCTTACCAAGTCTCTGCAAAAAGCTTCAGTCATCCAAACCAGCACAGTCTTCGCTGGTCTCGGCGGTGATGTCAGAATAAGGAGAAGGGTCAGTCCAGATGATGTTATAGCTGTCATAAAGTCAGCAAGATATTCGCAAGACACCAGCTTGATCAGGGTGCTCACCTATCATCTGGATACGACGGCGCATCTTTGTCACCAAGCTTCTCAACAATATCCGTTAGGGCGTCGTGCTCCCAGCATATCAGGATGTTGCCGGATCCGTCGTATCCATCAACCACGTCTTTAACGCACCCTGGATCATCCCGATCACAGGAAGTGTCAACGGTGAGACCAAGATCTTCGGCCAGTGGCTCCACTGTGTCATATGGACGAGCGCGCTTCCCATCTGTAACGAGAGGTCAGTCATTAATACTTTGCTGGAAATATTCCTCCTTGTAAAATGACAGGCTTAACGTACTACTCTTCGGTGTCTGCGCCATTATATAGCCAATGTTATAAGACGAACTTTTGCTAAAGACGGATCGCAAGCACTGCGCACGTTGAACCCCCTGGGCATTCAACCCATTTCCTCCATCGCTTGGTTTCTCTCCGTGGCGGATCAAGTACACGGTGGGTGAAGCCGCTGTTGCGAGAGCTGCAGTAGCCACCACGCATAAATAGGTGAGCCCGAGCATAGTGACAATCCTCACAACCGCGTGAGGAGATGTTCTAAAAGATAAGTGTTGATACTGGTCCTGAGAAATACAATATCTGTCGTTGACCGATATTTATATGTTGCGAGACTTACGACTTGCTATGGCCCCCATAACATTGGCCCACATAGGTCACACTTAGCGGAACCAAACATTACCATGATATATAAGACATGGGGGATATCACTGATATGATTCGGCGGGCGATCCCCTTCAGATTTGTTTCAACTAAGCCAAATAAGGCAATTAACCGCCGGATACGGCCGTTTAGATCAATTATGGTGATTATGTTTCTTGTCAAAACTTTCACACTTGGATGTATTTGAAGCTTATTAGACTCGGTTTAATATAGAATATAATGAATATTGTGGCGGCTAAACGATATATTGGGATTTTACAAGACGGATAGTCAATACGATGAAGGTATAAGTTACCAAGCACGACCAATCAATGATTTCTACTGGCCCATTCCATGTGCATATGATCATTTCATTCGAGATGTGTGAGTGTAACACATGTAATATATCTCGGACATATTACAGACGAACCAAGCTAGGCAAGACATAGACCAAGCAAACATGAAAGTTTGCACTAGAATGATAGAAAAAAGGGATTGTTGGCTTAAACAAGTGAGCACTTACGTATATTGCTGACCATCTGGGGACAGGACCGGTGGACATAGACGGTTGTTTGGACAGCAGCCGATTGTAGATCCTGCGGTTACGCATGTCGAGTTGACTGCACACTGTCGTCTTGTGAGTGTTGAACAAGAGAAAAAAGCAAAGCAATTGAACGTTGTATCGTAACTTACACATGCAGCCGTCTGGGGGCAGTAAGCCCCGCCCGAGGCGCATCTGAAAACGCCACTGGAGCAGACTTGGGCCGATTGGCACTTTTTTTGACCCTGTACCAGGCGTCCTAGTCTTAATGGACGAAATAAGGGATCAATCTGGGGAATATAATCACCGTAGAATTGCATGATCTGCAGTTATTCAAATCCGCATTGAGATTAGTACAGGTACCAGCACAACAAGAACTTCCAGAGGGACATTTCAGGTAACACGCGCTTAGCACAATTCAATTCGGTGGTATGAAGGGATAATGAAAAGAAGCATGACAGAAGTGCGATAGTGTTATAGAATCCGCGATGGAAAGGATCAGCACAGAAGTTTGCACAAGCTCCTGTGCAGTAGGCTGGGTTTGCAAGCGGGCACTGTCGAAAATGCGTCATATCAGTGCAAGTCATGATTACCACAGGAACGAGAATATCTCAAGCTACTTGCCGCAGGATCCACAGTGACCCGGATCGGAGGCTAGATCACAACCCAGAGCAGCAGCCTGGGAAGCTTCCTGTACAAGCGGGAGCGATACATGACCAGCAAGGATTGAGGTCCGTGCTGATATTCGTACATACGCCAGAACAGCATGCTGAAATTGCTGTAACGTATTTTTTTCAAGCGAGCTGGCCACCCAGACAAACATGCTACTATTAAATAGACAAAATAAGCACCATAACGCCATTAATTCAAAAATGAAGCTATTCAGACCTGCCAGGGCACCATTTCTCCTATGTCTAGGCCTTGTACTTATGCTACATAGCTGTGGTATCCTCCTATTGGCCTGATGAGGTTTCGGTGATAAACCGCCATCACTATCTTGGCCAACTTCACTAGCTATTCCTAGACCCTGTACAATCTCCATGCCCTTTTCGTCACCTGAGCCGCTTCGTCTACACGACTGTGCAGGTATATCAAAATTTTTTTTATCGAAGATATGTTTAAATATCGTTTTTGAGCTATATTTTAATACCGAAGCCAAAGTCGACCGTATCAGGTAATAGCAATGATGATGGACTCACCTATGGTAGAGAATATACCCTATACTTCTCGGGCAAAATGAAGTTCTGGTACTTGGGTGGATATTTCTCGACGAAGTAATCTCTAATTCCCTATACATTTCCCTGCAATTATTTGATTCTCAATGGACAATTCGTAACAGTATATCCGCGTTCGGAAAAGAGCAAGTTAATTGGCGGATAAGAGCGGATAAGCTGTGGGGGTGGAGCGGATAACCGACACAACTTGATTAAGGCAAGAAGACAACGCTACTTTTAACAAGCCTAATGGACAAGACGTACTAAACCTCGTTTCTGAGTTGACCAAATCCTTGGGTACCCCAGATTGAGCTAAACTGCGGGGAAGGGTTGTTGCGGGGAAGCCTATCTGGCCATGGCAATTCTTGGCATTCCACCCAGCTGTGTTGGAGCAGATGCTGCCAAGAACATAGCGATGTGATCGAAAATAATAACTTCAATTGATAGGGTATTTCTGTCAGCGCCTAGGACTGATCAGCCAAATTTTCCGCACGCCCCCATTTGTACTTATAGGTGCAATCGACCTTTTCCGCCCACCCCTGTTACATATAAAACTACAATCGCAATGGTCCTTTCGGTTTCAACATCCAGATATCTGGGTTATTGAATCCTGAGCTTGCAACAGCACTATGCCTTTTTCAAACTCCCACCGAGCGTCTCTAGATGAACTTGAAGATGAAAAACGAGGAAAGGCTGAAAATGTGGAGGAATGTTCGAACATTACGTGCATCGACGATATCCAGGTGCTAGGTCTCGCTCCAGACGACGCTGAATTTTACCGCAATTTTGATACGGAAAAAAAGAAGAGAGTTCTAAAGAAGGCACGGACCATCACACCGTGCTATAGAAAAGTACTAACGGCGAGCGTCTAACAGGTTGACATTAGACTAGTCCCGATGCTCTCTGTGCTATATTTAGTTTCCCACCTCGACAGAGCTAATATAGGCAATGCTAAAATTGCTGGACTGACGGAGGACCTGGGATTAAGTGGTATTCAGTACAACATTGCACTCAGTCTTTTTTTCATCCCATATGTTCTTCTCGGTGAGTCGAAGGCCAAATTATTTCCTTCAAATGATCTATAACTAATTTGAAGCCAGAGGTACCCAGTAATATCCTCCTCAAGACTTTCACCCGGCCTTCTTATTATCTGGGTATCTTGATTGTCAGTTGGGGAATCATTACGACCTTGACAGGTGCCGTTCAGAATTTTGGGGGACTGCTAGCTGTACGAATTCTGTTGGGAATTTTTGAGTATGTTACTCCTACTTCTCGAACTTTGACCTTGCCGATTAACTTCGAATCACACTAGGGCTGGGTTCTTTCCCGGTGCGGTCTACCTTTGCTCACTGTGGTACATGCCGAGGGATCTCGCAACCCGTATATCATTGTTTTATTGCGCAAGTGCTTTGTCCGGTGCATTCTCTGGTCTTCTCGCGGCAGGGATCGCCAAAATGGATGGGGTTGGTGGCTATGAGGGGTGGAGATGGATCTTCTTGCTCGAGGGGTTGCTAACGGTGATTCTCGGGGTGATGTGCTTTTTTTTCCTCATTGACTCCCCAAGGCTATCTGGGAAATGGCTTGAAGTTGATGAGATTCGTTATCTAGAGCTACAACACTTCATCAAGGAAGGTGGAAAGTTCAAGGAGGAAAAGAAGAAGACTTCATGGAAAGAAATCCGAGCTGTGATAATGAACTGGCGGATGTATCTGTTAGCTTACATCTTACTGTGTCAATCTGCCTGCTCATATGGTTTGCCTATCATTTCTTTCACTTGACAGGATAAAAAGCTGACGAAATTTGGCAAGGAACCAAATTTACCCTCCCTACCATCACGAAAGGAATGGGATTCGAAGGCACCAATGCCCAGCTAATGACGGTTCCTCCCTACGTTGCCGGTGCCATATCCGCGGTATTCTTTTCAACTTTATCCGACCGATTCTACTGGCGTATGCCCTTCGTTGTAGCCCCGCTTCTTCTGATCATTACTGGATACTCTATCATTATGGGTCTCAAGGGTCAACTTCAAGCTCACATTGGGCCGGGCTTCTTCGCAATTATTCTGACTTGTATGGGTATTTATCCAACTCATCCTGCGACAACTTCATGGACAATGAATAACCTGGCTCCTTCTAATCGCCGTGCCATTGGAAGCGCATTCAACATCTGTGTCGGCAACATAGGAGGGATAATTGGCAGTTACATGTATCTTGATCGCGAGGGTCCTACTTATCCTACTGGCTTTGGGTTATCATTGGCTTTTGGTGGATCAGCTCTTCTTGCAGCCTTGATTCTCGAAGTCTCGTTCGTTTATGCAAATAAACGTAACGGTATGATGAGTGAGTCGGAGATACGGGACAAATATAGCGACGAGCAGCTCCTGGAGATGGGGGACAAGTCACCGCTTTTCAAGTATACCCTGTGATCAAGATTATCTATCTTATATAGGGTTTGATCTTGACAATTCAACATCCGGTCTTCGCAAGACATGTGCTCTCCCTCGCGTAGAGCCTGGTCCTTGCCAAATCCAGTCTTTCCTAGCTGATTCTTCCCGGGATTTTATTGTTTGGTGAACAAAGAACATACCTATCAGCAAAGAGACTTTGGACAGCAACGTTGATTTCAACATGATACAAAAATGTATTTTCTGTACAAAATATTTTATTCCTCAAAAGTCTACCGTTCGCATATATTTCAAATCAAGTATATACGATATTTTCCTACTAAATGGCATTTAGATTCCGTAACAAATCCCGTAGTGAACGTATTTCATATGGGAGCGGGCCACGTACCGCGAAACGCGTCAATTTAAATGCATTTATCTTAATCAAAGCACCAGTAAATTCATTTAGCTAGAAACGAGGTTTATCTAAATATGTGTTTCTCTTATGGCCTACATCTCTATAAGCTCCATATTTCCGTAAGGCCATTGTACGTGGCTCTGAAGGTGCCGGACGCCTTTTTGCATCGCGGGGTCCTAGTTCTTTGATTGTATACCTTGACTGCGAAATCAATAAAGGCTTTTAAACCCAAAGGTACTTTCTGGGTAGGTATTTGCCTTGTATACGGAGTTCTGTTTCACATTTTCTTCTAGTATTTAGCGCGTAAGTCGCTTACTTGTTTCTCCCAGAATAGCTACCGATTGTATTGTAAGTTAATAGGCTTTGATTTAGCGCTGAATCTAGCATACTCGGCGGGCTTTTGGAGCGTTGTCTTCGTAATTATACGTAATTCGAAGGCGTTTTTGGCTCCTAGTTACCACCCCGCCTAGAGGGGTGGTTAGCATACAGGCAAGGGCGATCAAGAACAACAAGGCAACACCCACAAAGGCTCGAGAAGTGATTCTTTTCTCTGACAGCCAGGCCGCTATTCAGGCGGTCCAAAACCCATAACGACCGTCGGGTCAGTACGTGCTCCAGCTGATATATGATCACGTACGGACCCTTCGATCGAAATATTCGACATTTGTTACCCTCCGCTGGATCCCCGCACATAACGGGGTGCCTGGCAATGAAGTTGCCGATAGCAGTGCGAAACTCGCGGCTATCGAAAGTGCGGGAGGTGCGACCGGCGGAGCGGATTAACCGATTATCCGACTTGCTGCTGCTGCTAAGCGGATGGTCCGTGGGCGGATCTAGGACCGCTGGAAGAAGCAATGGGAGAGCGAAAGGACGGCTCAGCCTACAAAGCGCCTAGTGGAATGACCGAATAAGAAGGTCTTACGGTTGTACGAAGGCCTATCTAAACCCCGCTTATCGATCATGATATAGATACGCTTAATGCGTATTGCGCTGCGGCACTTCCTATATAAGATTAATGCAGCGGATTCGGATAAGTGCCTGTGTGGAGAAGGCTCTTGGACCCCGAAGCACGTCCTACTTTAATGCTAGACCTTCGGGGATCTACGGAAGCAGCTTTTTGATAAGCTGTTTTAAGCAGGGGTTTCTAACTATACTGACTATAACACTCTAGTGTTAGACCCGCTAGCGATCCGCTACATCGCCAAATTTATGTATTAAACCGGCCTACTTGCTTAGTTTTAACACGCTAAGCAAGAAGAGTCCGATGATGAAATAGGAGACCTTGAGGTCATAGAGTAGAGTCCCGAAGACGCTAGGTACTTACCACCGCTTGCTAATACAGCGCTTAAGGAAGGAGAGAGCCTTAGCTAGCTATTCGAATATATAGTGCCGAATTAGGCTCAAGCCCACGCTCGGCATAACGCACGATAATCAGCAATTGAGGCTGACGTGAGGATATCGGAGAACGGGGTTTTATCTTGTTGCAGCAGGAATTGGCTGGTATCTAGAGCGAGAGGTGTCTATATAGGATATGAGCTAAGGATAGGGGAGGTGGACGGTGTATCCCAATCAATCAAAGTTCTATTTACCTATTACAGCTTATCTAGTATCGAAAAGCTATGTAGACGCTCCTTTTTAGTTAAAGCAAGAACTCGTGTCTAGACCTTGACATTTCCCATGGGACTAGCGAAAATCTAGTCCCATGTCCATGGGACTTAGTCCCATGGGAGTTCCTACAGAGGTCTAGTCCCGTGGACCCACTCCCATGGGAGTAAAAAAAAAAATTGGTCCCGCCATGGGAATTCCCGTGGGACTCCCATGGGACTAACAAAATTTCCCATCTATACATTATTTCCATAATAATAATGGATAAATTGCTGAGTTATTATAATAAAATACGGTAATTTAAAGGTGTTTTAGCGAGTATTGAGACTAACAAATATTTATTACTTTTGATATATTTTGACCATAGTTTTGTGATTATTTAGTATATCTTTAATTTAGAAAAAAGCTATTGTAAATAAAATACCGTTCGGAACCGCCAAGAAATGCATTATTTATACAAGTCACGAGATAGCTAATGTTTGCATTGTTTACAGTCCCATGGGAATTCCCATAACTCCCATGGGAGTTCCCACGGGGGTCTAGTCCCGCCATGGGAATTTCCCATAGATGTTTAGTCCCATGGACCCACTCCCATGGGACCAAAATTAGTCCCACGGGAATTCCCATGGACAGTCCCATGGGAGGCGTCCCATGGGAAATGTCAAGGTCTACTCGTGTCCCGTACGCCTGATCATACTCTAGTACAGAAATATAGGCTAGTCTCGAAACGAAAGAGAGCACCAGCCCTATATATAAGCCAATCGTAACCCCAAAACCCCCATACAAATGAGAGTCTCAACGCTATAAGTCGCTGAGTACATAATAAATGCGGGGATACACCGTCCACCTCCCCTGTCCTTAGCTCATATCCTATATAGACACCTCTCGCTCTATATGCTAGCCAATTCCTGCTGCAACAAGATAAAACCCCGTTCTCCGACATCCTCACTTTAGCCTCAATTGTCGATTATCGTTGTTCAGTGCCTAGTTTGGCAGCGTGTATTCAAATAGCGCATCGAGGTTCTCTCTACCCTTGACGGTGTCAGCAAGTATTAGTGAGTACCTAGCGTCTTCGGGACTCTGCTCTTATAACCTCTCGGTCTCCTGTTTCTTTATCGGACTCTTCTTGCTTAGCGTGTTGAAACTAAGCTAGTAGGCCGGTCGGGTGCATGAATTTGGCGGTATAGCGGATCGCCAGCGGGTCTAACACTAAAGCGTTATGATTAGTAAGGTTAGAAACCCTTGTCTACGACAACTGGTCAAAAGCTGTTTCGTAAGACTCCCAAAGGTCTGATATTGAAGTAGGACGTGCTTCGGGGTCTAAGAACCTTCTCCACACGGGCATTTGTCCGAATCTGCTGTATTGATCTTGTATAGAAAGTGCCGCAGCGCAATACGATATCTATAACTTGGGTGAGATTAGTTTTGCAATAGGCTTCATTGCGACTAGGCTTCCGCAGAACCCAATTTGGGTCGACCCAATCCCCAACCCGGACCCAACACTGGGGCACCAATAAAGCCCAACTCAGACCTAACTCAGACCCAACTTTTGCATAATTTCATTCATAAAGCTACTCTTTTGTCAAAATAATATACAGTTTTTTTTACGCTGGTTCTGTTAAACTATGAGATACTTTTATGGTATAACCCCCTTGAAAATTAAGATATAAGTCTGTAATTCAAAATATTTGATCTTTCTTATTATGTATCAGCTTTTAAATGGCAACTTTGGGGTGATAAATTATAACACATTTAGTAGAAGTTCGCGTGAACAAAGCGTCGATATAGTAGTCGGGGAATTGCTTACTGTATGATTCATAAATTAACTTAGCGGTGTATCGGATGACTCAGGCTTTTATGATATATAAGACTTCCTACTAGCAGGATAGAGACACAGGCACACCCTCTTCTTCACTGCCACCTCTATGTGCTCTCCTCTCTTATATTTTTACTACCCCTAGCGGCCGATCTGGTTCGCAGACAGACAGGCAGGGTCGGGTCGGGTCCCCCTTCGTGTTCCCTCATTAATATATATATATTAGTACTTCACAATACCTAGATACCTTTGGAGACTATGTTGAGATTCATGGCGCATCCAGGCTAGATGCCTGACATATAAGGCATGAATCTGGTGATCAGCATTAGACCTACCAAGTAGAGTATGGATCAGGAGAAGAGTTCTCATTTATATAGGGTCTTCCTCTTATGAAGAGAAAGATCAGACTTAAACAATCTCGTTGGCCTTGATATTAATGCGTCCCAATTCAGTAGACATCCAATTTCAACAGACTAAATATAACCACAATAGAATCCTGTTATTCCTGCTTTAGTTTGTTTATACTATATTTGAGAATTAGTTATGTATCAATTGACTATAGTATTCTAGTATAACGTATTCGATAAGCGAGCTGGCCACCCCATGCGAGCTGGCCACCCCATCAAAAACGCGCCGCGTAATTAGACTGTCTCTATTCAACAACCTACCATGCCGCCAATTCGCTCTCAATGCTCTCAAAAACGTGTAGAGCAAGAGGGTAGGATCTTATTAGCTATTGAAGCTATTCAGAAACAAGAATTTAGCTCTGTACGTAGAGCTACAGCGGTTTTTGATGTCCCCCGCTCCACGCTCTCGGCGCGTCTTAATGGCATCACCTATCGCGCCGAAACTCGCGCCAACAGCCATAAATTGACTGTTTTCGAGGAGGAATCGCTTTATAATTGGATCCTCTCACTCGACGATCGTGGAGCTGCTCCTCGGCCTCGTATAGTACGAGAAGCAGCTGATTTACTACTTAAAGCGCGCGGGTTAACTCCACCTATTACTGTCGGCGAAAAATAGGTCGAAAACTTCGTTAAACGGCACCCTGACCTCTCTACTCAATTCTCGCGATCGTACGACTACCGGCGGGCTTAATGCGAGGATAAAAAGGCGATTTCAACGTGGTTTAACTTCGTGAAAGCTACGATCGAAAAGTACGGCATTGTCGGCGACGATATCTACAATTTCGACGAAACTGGCTTCGCCCTCGGCCTTACGGCTACTGCGAAGGTTATTACAAGGAGAACGTACGGTCGGAGAGCCGTTTTGCAACCTAGAAACCGCGAATAGGTGACCTTAATTGAAGCTATTAGTGCGGGAGGGTGGGTGCTTCCGCCATGCGTTATTTTCAAAGGCAAGGTCCTTATAGAGGCATAGTTCAAGGATACCAACCTCCTATTAGACTGGCGCTTCGAATTAAGTAATAATGGATGGACAACCGATAAAATAGGTCTTAACTGGCTCCAAAAGCTTTTTATTCCATCGACTACAAGCCGGACGAAGGGGAGGTATCGTCTTCTTATCCTCGACGGTCATAGCAGCTATCTTACGCCTCAATTTGACTCGATTTGCTCTCAAAACGATATTATACCAATCTGTATGCTGTCGCATTCCTCTTACCTCCTATAACCTCTCGATATCGGCTGTTTTGGGGTACTAAAACGGGCGTACGGGGAGCTAGTAGACTCGCAAATAAAGTTTTGCATTAGTCGTATCGATAAATGCGACTTCCTTATAGCTTATCCTCGGGCCCGGAGAGAGGCATTTAAGCCGGAAACTATTCTTAATAGCTTCGTAGCTGCTAGCATCGCTCCTTTTGATCCGAATCGCGTGATTTCGAAGCTAAATATACGCCTTATTACTCCTCCACCTCCTCCGAGTCGAGGAAGCGATTCTAGCCGCAATTTTACGCCGAAAACCCCGTATATAGTAAAGCACGTACGCCGGCAAGCTTCCTCTATTAAGAAAATACTACAAGAGGACCTCTCGCGCGCCGAAAAAGCCTTTGAGTAGATCGTGAAAGGCTGCCATCTAGCTATACACGGCGCTACGATTATGCGCTAGGAAAACCGCGAATTACGTGCCGCTAATACGAAAACAACCCAGAAAAGGAAGCGTACGAGGAAGCGAATAGCTCATAAAGGTGGAATATCGGTTCTAGAGGCTATATCAATAGTTTCAGGACCGGAATAGTTCATGAAGCTAGCTCAGGTCGAGATGGAGCTGTATCGCCGACGCCGAATCGGACCAATAAGAGGAGACCACAACGATGCAGCCTCTGTAACAACCTAGGACATAGGAGAAATAGGTGCCCGGAGATGTCTGAATAGCTTCAATTTTACTGAATTTATGTTGTGGTTGAAAAATTCAATAATAATGGTAGATTTAATAGGTGGGTGGCCAGCTCGCATGGGGTGGCCAGCTCGCTTATCGAATACGTTATAGTATAAAAGTATATTACTCAAAACCTGATCAAAGGCCCATTCAGAATGCGTTGGGTGAAATCAGAAACATATCTTGTAAAATCAAATACATTGTTGCTTAAATCAAGCTATCCAGAAATCTGTAAACTTCCTTTCTGGTGCGAATGGCTTCGGGCATTTCAGGCTCCCAATGATATGCATGCCACATGCCATCAGCAACAAGTAGCTCGACCCTACTCGAGACGTCCCTCAGTTTCCAACTCAACCTAAGGCTACCACTTAATAAAACATCCCGGGTCCCTGTTGTAATCACGGATGGAGGGAAGCCAGCTTCGAAGTCGGCAAAGAGTGGCGACACTAGGGGGTTCTTCGTATCGTGTTTGCCGATATAATTCTTCTTCGCTATAGCAGCTACAATAGTAGGATGCATGACATCCCTTCCCGCATTCGTAATTGGAGAATCTCCGCTCGCACTCAAGTCCGCAGCTGGTGTATATAAGACGAGTCCAGCCATCATTGGCAATTTTTGGCGCTGGGCCAAGGCCAAAAGCGAGAGCATAATTTGCCCACCGGCTGAGGTGCACATGCCAAAAACATTCTCAGCGCCGAAGCTTGCCGTGAGTTCTTTGTAGACGGCAAGACATTGGTCCCTCGCCACAGGGTAGCGAGCCTCGGGTGACAACGTATATTCCACGGAATACACTTTGATTCCATACTCACCAGCCATCAGAAGAGCGCTCCTGTCTCTAGCTGTGGCTGCGATGAAACCCCCTCCATGGATATTCAACATAACTTTCGATTGCATCCCCAGCTTGATGATAGGAGGGTTGATTATCAAAATGTGCACACCAGCGATCACAGTGTGTTCAAATTCAAGGTGTTGTGTAGCGATCACGGATTCCTCGATCGGGTCTTCCATCTTCGCCCACCGGGAGCGAATCTTTGGGACAGTGCTTGGCCCAGTCAGAAAGCGTGCGAGAATATTTGGGCATGGCATTCGCGGAATCTTGTCGATAAACACTTGCGCCTCGCGGCTGATAGCCTCAGACTGCGCTTTCGTACGTGAGGGCATTGAGATGGAAAATCTTCGGTAAAGTGCGAGGAAAATGGCTTAACAGGCTTCAACATATATGCTTGCTGCGACATCCCGCTCTGGCCAGAATGTACTAAGTATCTCACTTTAGTCCGGCAATAATTTCGCCGCACAGATGAAAGAAGGCCCCACTCTTGTATTATAGAAAACGCTATGTCAGATTTGCCTCGACGGCTCTATCACGGAGTCGGGAGCGGGTAAGGCTTTCATCCGAACGACAACGGAATTCCGTGTCCTTTCAAATCCGGCCAAAATGTCAGGGAACGGAAAAATAACTGCTCAACCTCACGAGGCTAACGTAGGTGTACTCTGGTTCTGTTTTAGATGGTGGCAGTGGCAGACCACTTGTCCCCGCTCCAATGCCCAAGGAGCCAAAAAGCTCTTCAAAGATTTATTGATCTAGGTACTATCGAAATTCCCCTCCCTTGTTCTACAAGTACCATCACCATCAGTTTTATTCTTCTTGCACATGTTTTATGTGATCTCTTTTGATAGGCATAATCAAATAAACTGTACAGTATTAATGGTATTGGAAAGATAATCTCCAAAGTTAAATCCAGTTTGATTTGCTGACATTTCACAAGCACGATCCGAGAAAGCCAATCTCGCATATCACCCAAAAGAGATATATGAACAGAGCCGGGAAACTGAAAATCGCGATGATTGTCTGCCAAGCGGAATCACGAACACGCAGCGAGCGACATAGATCCACGCGACGGAAAGCCTTGACCGGCGACAGCACCCCGACCCAGGAGACGTGCTAAGAAGACGACCAGACCCACAAAAACTCATAACCCGTGGAAACGCCCCAATTTCTGATTCAACAATGTATGGGTAACATTGAAAGAGATCCGACGGATCATTTGCTACCTGCAAGCAACCTCGCTGATCCAAGCCACGACCGAAGCCGAGAGGGCTTTAACATTGGCAGGACCCAGAATGAGAAGCTCAAGCAGGAAGCTCAGCGGATACGGACACAGATCGATAGACTGGATGCGCCGTCCACGACAGGATCTTGGGGCGTCGTGGCCGACACAAAAACGCCTGAACCCAAGGGAATCGCTGGCATACCAAAAGGACAAGGACTGTGTTCGTCTCAAAACCCAACGGTCCCTCTGCTAGTCGGCTACCACGGAATATGATCAAGACTGCTATTGAAAATGCGCCCCGAAAATTTGGATGGAAATATAATAGAGGGATGGGAGAGATGAGTCTAGAGGTGAGGAATGATTTAATAGAGGGACGGTGAAGTTATGGTGATGAAGGTGTGAGATTCATTCAACATAACGACGTTGTTGGTGTGAGGATTGTGGACACTGTGAATAGCATGAGGGCCAGCCAGCTGATGTTATATGTTACGGTGTTCAGTTAAGACTGGAGGCCGCAACTCAGAATGAAAATGCATCCGCACCATTGACACAGACCTGCCTCAATTTTAGATCCCGACAGTAATCCTGATCCACAGGTGAGTACATCGGAACATAAATAGAAAACGGTTTCATGCCATAAACAAAATTGTAGTTTCTTTTAAGCTGACTTAGTAATCACTATCGCTGTTGCGACCCAGACTTCCTGGATTTCAGTGACCGAGCACTAAAAATGACGCATGCAAGCGCGGTGGCAACTGAAAGCAATAAATTTGCACTCTTGGTACTTCACTGCACCTACAGTAGACCTTTTGCTGTAATTTCCGTCAGGGCGCATGCATAATTTACTCAGTCTGTCTCGGATAGGTCCAACTCAACGAATGGATTGATAGGCAATGCTGATAGATCCCAATAGAGGATGCCATTGTATGCACTCAAATCCTGCCTCTGCAACGTATACTTCATGCTGTTTGCATATCGCTTCAGTAGTTTTTGCTACAGCCGAATTGGCAGACTGAGCGTCCTTGGTACCGCCTGAAGCCTGGTGGCTAGGACTTGGCATGCTGAACTTGAAAGTCGTCTTAGTATACCTGCTTAATTTAAATGCGAAATTGGAAATAGCAAAGTCCGCCACGCGTTGGCGAAACATTTGATGCCTTGTCAAGCGCTGCTCTCCAGCCTAAGCTGCAGTTTCCCTTGGCTTGGCTGTTGAATTGGTTAATTACTTTGTTGATAAAGTATGTTCTAATCTCATCGGATCTTTGACGTTGTATGAGTGAGTGGTACGTCACACACACGGAAACGCCATTGTTGCTCACGATGGGCATCGGGTGGATTGAGCCGCAACATAGGTCGGCCATTAAAACGTTTATGCTGATTATTGCAATGTTCATTTCTGAGCATTGGAAAGTTGTATTAACAATCAATGCCCTCCAATAAGGAGAGAATCCCTCACTGATTAAAAAAAAATTGACAATTTGAAGCATTAATTTAATAGGAGGGGTTCATATGAATGGAAATTTGAAAATGTTCAATAGAACAAGCACGACGGACTAATCACTCATGACACTGCACAGTGAGACAAGCATTCCCAGTTCGTCCATTTCCTTATACCATTTTTCAACTTGATATTTGAGACCTAGATCACACTCCATAGTAGCGCGGCATTCGGGGCCACTGTGGAACTTGTTCAGCTCTACTAAATTAGTATAGTTTAGCCTTGTTTCGCTACTCTCGACCGGGTGGGCACGATCTTGCCCTGAGATAGCAAGGTCAAGTATTTTGTACCATGAAATCTCATCGATTGCTTCCCAAAGAGACTTCGTTGCTGGAAGCTCAATCTCGCCGAACTCATGATCAATGTCACGGTCACATGGAAGACCATAGTCGACATCATAGCAAGATGCGAGAATGAAATAAACAATCGCTGTTCGTAGCTTAGACTCAGCAAAGACCCAATCCTCCCAAGTTTGTCGACATCCAGGTTGCTTTGTTGGTGTCGTATAACCAGACAGCATTCGATGTAGATGTTCAAAGTTCGTTCTTAACGTGAACAGCAGGGTAATTGGCAAATTCGGATGATGTGGTAACACATTATCGCGATTCGAGGTCAGAAGAAGAAGATAAATTGTTATAGCTTGCGCTGACGCAAGGTGTACCCATTTACTGGACGAACAGCGCAGATCATATATTCTTTCTTGTTCCTGAGCAACAGTGTCCCAGAAAGACATGTCGTCTGCTTCGTGGCGGGAAGGAAATCTGCGGCATATATCTCGGCAGACGGCAATTGGATTCACTGCGCATGGAGTAATATTTGACGTACTAATTGTCGAGGGGGTGGATAAAAGGCGGGTAGGTGTGCTTATCCATCATTCTTTCGGGAAATGAGCACAATACTTGAGAAACCATATTTTTGAGGGGAGAAAGTACAAATCCGCCAGGTATCTTCCGCTGCAAAATATTTGAGGGAACTGGGGAGGGCATTTCCACCAGCTTCTTCGTATTAGCCACATGAGACTTGCCAGAGCTTGTCCCCTTTGGCACACGTTCTCTAAGTGTAGAGTCACTCGACGGTTGAGGCATGCATAGCTCCGGCGGTACAATTGATGTTAAGGAGTGGTCTGATACACGACTCGGAGTATTTTGCAACATAGCGAAATTTGAAAAATCTGAAGTATGTTGCGAGTACTCAGGAGGAAGTTGTGTAAGATTGTGACAGGGTTCTCGGGTAGCGGATGGGTCATTCGTGTATAGACATTGTCTTTCTCTTTGATGGCATGTCTCACAGACCGGTTTGCGCGAATCGCAACGTGTTTTCGCCCGTATACAAGGGAGACAAGATTTTCGACGTGGAGGCTGAGGGTTCCTTTTTCGATTAAGGCAATAGCGCTCGTGCCTTTTCACTAATGAATCTGCCCTTTCGATCAGTACAACCTAAGCCACCGGCCACTTCCACAGCCACTCCGTTTACAGACATGGCATGGGCGCAATAGGGCCTTACCTCTCCGGAGTTCTTTCCCACATACTCCGCAAAAATAATTTGGTGCAGAGTTAAGATTTCGGCCGTTGTGTGTCGATGACATGTCTGCGTGCAAGATGAGGGAGGCTTGATGAAAGTGTGACAAACAAGGAAGTTGGCTCGCCATTTTGTCCTCTGTCACATCACGTGATAACCCGATGAGTGGATCCAGCCTTGTGGCTAAAAATGCAACAACCTACAGAAAGTAGGCTGGGGCATGCCTGAAGGTATAGGAAGAATGTAGTGGAATAATATTGGTTGGATTCTATCGCACGTTGTGCAACACGAGCAGATTGTCGCTTGTTCCCTTTTACTGTGATGTTAGACTCATCTATTGCTCGGCGGGCGTATACTCCGAGGCCGCCCTCGTTTGCGCGCAGGGGGCTGGCGAGACCCGCCGGCAGCAGCGATTATATTGGCGCCCCACGGGCCACTACCGCGTACCTCATCGAGGCTGGCTGGGCGAGTGAAGGTGGTCTTGTAGACTAGAGAGACGTTGACGAAGCCGGTGAGGTTGCCCACAAAGGATAGAGCAGTGGACTCGTGACCAACGTCGGGGATACTAGGAAGGATGCACACTACACTGTACATAGATGCACCTCGTTCAGGGCAGAGATAAATCATGATCTCCTTCTGTCCTTTGCTTTTTATCGATTTTTACCCAATAGAAACATAGTCTGTATTCAATGCTTAACCAAAAAGGGAAAAAACTGATAAGTATTTCTCACAGTACAGAACGACATGACAAGAGCGATATGACAATACTTTGTCACTTAGGATAAGTAGGAGGCATGCTGAGGGACACCGGTTTCGTTTGCAACAGGAAAATTCATAGCAGAGGCACACGAGGGTCCACCTTTCTGCATTCCTCCATTAGTTCAGCGAATATTTTGCATTGCAAAGCAATTCCTTCTGCTGAGTCGGTAATTGGAGCTCTTCTAATTGATTGAATCAGTTTGGTTCTTTGATCTGCCGTTTCACAAGCCCAATCAACGTACTGTGCTATATTGTAGTCACTAATGTATGAACCATGCGATTCTTTCCCAACGAGCGCAATAGCGTGCAAATACCTGCTGGTACCTTCGGACAATGAATTTGGTTTAGATGAGAGAAAAACCTTGATCCCAAACAAGACTCGAAGATAAAAGGGGTAAACCGCGCCAAAATTTGTCCACACAGGGCCCGGTGAAACTTCGTTGAGTATGACAGAATTTTTGTCGATTCGTCGTGCCATTTGCTTCATGACCATACTCCCTATGAGCTTGGAGTCTTGATAGCGACTCCTACCGTCGAAAAAAAGTTTGTCATCAAGGTATTCCATCACTGGTCGGTCACCGGGAACAGGCTGCTTTACTAGCGAATGGTTCATCTGAACGAAACTTCCGACCCAAGTCAAGCGCGAAGGTCTAGATTTGAGGGTTGCCGTTTCCTCTAGCAATGGAAGTAACTCTAGGACCAAGAGCGCGTTTGAGTAGACGTTGACTTGCATGATCCTTTCGTGGCCGCTTTGTGTGATCTGAAAATCGTGACCACCCACACCGGCATTGAGAAGTACAATATCGATCGTACGCGTGTGCGCTTTTACCAGGTCGGAAAAAGCTTTTACACTCTCAAAGTCGCCCATCTGAAGCTCTACCACGTGGATCACAACATTGGAGCTTCCCGCAATTGATTTTGATTTTTCCAGGAGATTTGCTTTGATTTCCTCACCCCTTTTAACATTTCGTACTCCCATAATGAGGGTGCCAATGTGCCGATGCACGAGCTCGTCGCAAAAAGCCAGCCCTAGTCCATGTGTCGTCCCAGTCACGACAGCTGTTTCACTATGGAAGCTGAGAGAATCAAAATGTTCAGGCATGGTCGTATTAAGATCGTGTGACTTTGCAATCAATTGAAAAGCTTTCGACGATTTGAAGTGGCTCGCAAACTTTATATGGTTGCTCCACCTGTCAAAGCTTCTGCGATCGGACTCGAACTGACCGGATTTAAGACGGTCGAAATTAGTATATACCGGACTTTGTGTTGAGCTGGCTCAAATTCTCCTCGTCTTACGCACGCAAGAGAAAGGTTGGCTGGAGACTATAGGTAGTCCATCGTGCAATGTTTTGCCGGATCAAGTTAGATCTAAGTCAGCAAACTAGTTTTACTCCAACACGTAAGACGCACTTGCTATCGGCCTTTATCTCTAGGGCTTCGATGGAGCCCAGCAGTAGTGCTGTAAGCCAGCTCGTTCCTACGCATCAGGACCTGTTGACTTAAGAATTCCTACGTATTCGGTGAGTAACAAGTTGTAATAAAGCGAATAGTATAAGCTACCACAAGTGTCTGATGATTTTTAAGATATATTTTTAATATACATATGGCTTGACGATCGATAACGCCCTGCCTGTGAGTTAGATTGAGTTCGTGAGTTTGGGTTTCGGTCTAATGCATAGACCCGGCAGGCAGCGAGGTCTAGTCTGCCACTGATGACCAACATCCAACTTTTCCATCCAGTCAAATATATGATACCGACGATAATTGGGCCAACGTTCATCATTATCCATGGAGTATTCCCCTTTGTTGAGAGTGCGCCCTTGCCAGGATTCGCATGACGCTTCTTGTCACGGAGCTCCGTGTCACGGAAGTCCGTGTCACGCCGGATATGCGGGTAGACCCACAATAATTGCTAAACCTTATCCGCAGACTAATTGAATATAAAGACAAACCACCTCCTTTCGTTCCGCTATTCACCCAAATGCCCCTTGACTTTCACAACTATCAAACCAGACAGCTAAATCCTCCAATTCAACGTGATGGCTCGCACTGTTCTTATCACCGGCTGCTCTGAGGGCGGCATGGGTGCAGCACTAGCCAAGGAATTCCACCAACAAGGCGACCGTGTGTTCGCAACCGCACGAAATGTCTCTAAGATGACCTCCCTCAAAGCCATGGGAATCGAGACCCTCATCCTCGACGTTACATCCGAGGATTCGATTCAGGCCTGCATAAGCCAAGTCTCCTCCGTCACGGGTGGCTCGCTTGACATTCTCGTGAACAACGCCGGCAAGGGCTTGTGTATGCCAGCCATGGACCTGTCCATCCAGGAAGCCAAGGAGGTATTTGACCTAAACTTCTGGGCAATCCTCCGCATGTCGCAAGTGTGTCTACCTCTTCTGCAACAGGCTGCACGGGCGCATGGCCATGCTCTACTTGTGAACCAGACCTCCGTCAGCAGCGTGTTGGGTGCTCCGTTTTGGAGTGCATACAACACTTCAAAGGCAGCTGCCGCCATGCTCATTCAAAACATGAGACTAGAGCTAGCGCCTTTCGACATCAAGGTAATCGATCTGAAGACTGGTGGGGTGAATACCAATATTCACGATAACGACCCCGTCTGTCACCTTCCATCAAGCTCTCCCTACACTGTTTTGCAGAGAGAGATCGAGAAGTTTTCGACAGGTGATATGAACTCGGCTGGCCAGGAGCCTGGAGTCTGGGCAAAAAACGTTGTCAGCGACTTGAAGAAGCATAATCCGTCTAATATCATCTGGCGCGGCAAGTCATCAACTCAAATCTGGCTCGCTTCACACCTCCCCATTACTACTTTGGATTCGACGATGAAGAAGGTTGCGAGTCTCGACGTGTTGGAAAAAAAAGATTCATGGAAAAACGTTGCAATGAGGTACTTGGCGGCAAGCAGAAAGGGGGAGTCACCATGTTGTCCCGACATGTAAAACTAGCATTTGCAATCTCGAATATCCGTCTTGCGCATAGTAAACTGCTTCACCTCCTTCTACCGACCCTCAGGCGAGTATGCTCTTGCTAACATTGCTGCACTTGCGAGGGTTTCGGCATCCTCAACACCCAGCAATTTTAGTCTCTGTTCTCTCGGTTTCAAAGCCATGTCCCTTATATCCGTGATATTTCCGCTTTCTGGTGTATACCATGCACCCGTATGAAGCAGCGTAGCATTTTTTAATAGAGCTTCTCGTAATTTTGGTCGTTTGATACATCGCTGATCGAACGTTTAGCAAAGAGTAACTGGCATTCCTACTAACTTCTTTATGGACCGGTGGGAAACTCCCGATTGAAATTCCTGATGAATATCTCTCTCTATCGGTATATTTGTCCATAAGCTGTTAGCCGCGCGCGCGTAATTAGTTGCAACAGCCGATGTTTCATGAAGAGAAGGCCCTTTTCACTAATAGAGATGAAATAATAATCCTTTGGGGTTGTAATTTTATCCTCAGAATCGGTACTTATATCAGATTTATATACCTCTATGTCACTAGAGACATTTAGAGTCTCGGAATGTGATATATAGTTGACATTCGATGAATGCTACATAAATTTCTCTGCTATCCCTTGCTGGCCGAAAAAGCCTATGAGAGAAAGCAACTCTGGTGTAGTGTCACGCAGTTACTAATCAAGTTGCATACCCCAAAGGTGCCACCGTTCAAGCGCCAAAATCTCTGTATCAACACGTCAGCGCTGGTTGATCACTCCTCTACCCATCATGTTAAATAGTCAATACAGGGGAACCTGGAATTTCCCTAAGAATCAGTCTCTGTATTCTCTAGTCGGATATCATGGTCCTCGCCCGGACGAGAAATGCCGCCGCCTATGCCGACCAAAAAGCCAACACGAATGAATGGAAATGAGGCAAGCAGGCTTGAGGCCATCGTCGCAGCCGAGAATGACGACGTTCTGCTCTCCTACACGACCTCCCGTATAGAAGTTCGCGTCGTTTTAGTGTATAGTGAAGCTGTTCGGAGCTCCATGTTCCTTATCGAGCATCGCTTCAGCAGCGGTTCGCTCGATAAAAGAGCAGCGATTCAGGCGATCTCATAGGGGTTGGGGCTGTGGAGAGCGTTGTGGGATGACATAAGATGCAAGGAAGCGCACTATGCTGCTAGATAGGCGGGTGGAAATATGGTTGTGCGTTCGCCTCCGTCGAAGGGGAACTTAGAGTAGAATCTTGAGACGGAGGCGATGTGATTGCGGCGTACTATTTGACAGCGTACTCTTTGACACTGCAGTCCGAGAGCACAACCTTATCAGTTGCCATACACGACTAGCGCTATTGCCTTATAGCACCCAGCTAGACTCATACTTACCGTATCCCACTGTAGAAGGACGGAGGCAGGCTGAAAATGATGAGGCCAAAGTCAGGTGACAATGACAGGTCCTCGCCAGTGACACCCATATTGGGGTCGCTGAGCTGTGAGTCCTTGCATGCGGAAGCCTCTAGCTGGCTGGGTGACATGATTGGGAGTAGTCAATGCCAAGAAACTCCCTCCACATTGCCCCGGCCATGTCGTGGGCCTGCAGGTACCTATCAAGATGAGGGTGTGGCTGAGACGAGGAGCTATCCCAAACAGTAATGAGACATGAGGTACATGTAACACTGAGCGCAAAGTACCGTATAGGTAATCTACTAGGAATATCAATACCCCCGGGTCTACTTCCAATGCGGTATGGTATATATTGGCATTAGGATTCGAGAGGCAATTGAACAGTGTAGGTGTTGACACCAGTTTCCGCACGAATTGTACTGCTCACTTAAACAAATATTTTTTGAGTAGCCATGGGTAGTTTCCCCTGGGCTTCGGGAAATGGAGCAGCCATATTAAACCCGCAATGCCGCCCACAAGAAGTAAGCACGCTTTTTCTCGTGGGCGTATATCCCAAGAGATCGCTCCTCGTAGAAATTCGTCTGGTCATTCTGCTGTTCAATATGAGTACTGAATGGATAAGACGTCTCTACTTACCGCATTGTCACTAAGACTGGATATGCCGACAGATACTAGTGCATGTAGACGTATGTAGCTGCTGGACCCAAAAGGTCAATAGTGGAAGGTCAAGAGACATGTCATCATCAGGACTACAAAAACTAGATTAGTACGTGAATCTCAGGAGAAGCTATGTGGTCTCACCGTCAAGTACGAGCAAACCTTGTCGTACTTCGGCAATGGTTTCAACGTAGATTTCACCTGCGCGAACAGCTTGAAACCATCAGCAGTTACTAGAGGACGTAAAAAAAATTACTTGGGTTTATGTCCTACCCAATGCTTGGAACAATACATCGATAACTCTGTGCTCCGGTGAAATTGCTTCAATCTTTTTACTGCCGGTGGACAGCACTTCGAATGCAGCCCAGTCTATTTCATTAATCATAAAAAATGTACTAAGTAGATACCATGTGTGGCGTCAAGTGAGTCTGTCCACAGCTGCAATGTCGTGCCCTTTGGTAGGAAATCCCCTACAGTCCAGATGATGAAGCGCATGAAGCAAGGGTAGATCCTGGTTGCAACAAGAAAGAACATTCCCAGTGTGAGAAGGGAGTAAGCACTATATAGTTTGCACACTGACTTCAATTACTTCCAAGATTGATCCCAAATACGTGCTTCCATTGCAAAACGGTCATGTTCTTATCCAACAGCGACATGCAGCTATTCACGGACGCGGAAACGGCAAAAAATGGGCCAGTCTAGAATGGATCCAGCCCATTCCCACAAGTCACCTCTGGATGTTTCGCCTATAGCCACCCACCAACACTGATAGTACCGAGGATTATGATGATGATAGAATATAGTGAGACTATACATGACAGGAATGGGCATTGTCGTCTCGTATAGATGGTATGTGTATTCTAAGTAAATGTATTAGTGAGTCGTGCAAGGTTTATCAAATGGCTGTTGATGAGGTTCGTTGAAGGAATGAAAACTACACATTGACGATCAATGCTCGCTGTGTGACTCAAAAATACCAATACTCCGGCCCCTACTATCATCTATCAAATCTTGTGATATCAATATTGGCTATGATAAGACATGGCCTATCGACGACTAAACAGTTGCTTGCATTCAAAACGAGTGTTATTCTAATCTGTTGAAGATGTGATAGATGGGTTTCTGTCCTGCATGTTAAGATGCAGTTCTTCCGACATGGTCCAATTTACCATACACACATAATGGCAATGTGAGCGGGGGCTGGACTACCTCACCAGTGCTGAGATAAAAGTATTTTTCCGTCTTAGACTGGCATCATCCACTGGGTATTTAAAGAATAAAAGACTCCGTTGTCAATGGAAGGGACTCTGCAGCCTCGTAATTTAGCTCGACTCCATCAGAAGTCACCACCTGCCAATATATCAGTACTCCTTAGAATATCTACACTGGGCTCATGCGTGATTGATGCGACTTACAAAGTTTTCTGATCAACCATCACCCCAGAAGTAGCATTATTAAACTTAAGGTAGTGCTTTGTAACCGTACGGCAGTTCCTGACGACATCGACCTGTTTCTTGAGGTTATAGGAGTGAACTGAGCCTTTGTGTGAAACACCTGCTTTGGATACGAACATCACGCTGGATTAGGGATGCATTGACTTGGATTCGTGAGGTCAGTCTACTAGTCTTATGTTACTGGTAACGTGAGTGCACTTACTGCGAACATTGGTCGGGCGATTAGGGGTTCCACGGTTGAGACACTATTGAAACTTGAGATTCCCATTTGAAACATTTGATGAAGGGAAGTCTTACGCTGCGTTTGGGTCACCCTGAGTTGTATTGTTAGCGCAATACTAGAATTGAGGCAGGATATGGGACATACCATCTGTGCAAAAGCAATGAATCCCTTCTTGGTAACTTGGCACGGCTTCAAGCCAAAGTCAGATGGTTCTCAGAGCACCAAGTCAGCCAATTTTCCAACTTCGATACTGCCCACGGTATGGCTGATACCCTGCGTAAGCGCCGGATTGATCGTGTACTTGCTGATATAGCGCTTGACTCGCTGATTATCGGCTCCGGTACCTTTGTCTTCAAAAAGTGCTCCCCGGTGGAACTTGTTGATATGTGCCGTCTTCCATGTACACAATATGACCTCGCCGCAGCGACCCATTGCCTGTGAGTCAGAGGACATTATGCTGATAGCTCCGATATCGTGCAGTACGTCCTCCGCTGCGATGGTCTTGCCCCTAATGCGACCATCAAGGAAGGAAACATCGTCAGGATTGCTCTTTGAAAGCCGATGGCAGGTTGCAGCCATGTCCATGTGCTCGTCAATTGTGTTTGTTGTAAAAGGCATGGTAGGAGTTGTACTGCTCGGAAGGACATTGGCTTCCTGCACAAGTTTGATCACATCGGGCTCATGGCCTCCTCCGGCACCCTCGACATGGTACACGTGGATGGTGCGATTTTTGAATGCAGCGATTGTTCGTTCGACAAAACCGGATTCGTTGAGAGAATCGGTATGGATTTGACATTGGATATCTTGCTCTTCGCAGATGCTGTATAGGACGGTCAGTATCGACAATTTTATGGGTGTAAAGGTACATGTGAATGAGCTTCTTGGGGCAATCTACCTTAAACAGGTGTCAATTGTCGAGGGCGTACAACCAAAGTCTTCATGCAGCTTTAGCGCAACAACACCGGCATCGCACTGATCATAAAGTCCAGGCTTTCCGGAATCGCTTCCCTTCCCAATAATACCGTAGTTTATTGGCAACTGATCGCACGCCTGCATCATCTGTTTAATATACTTCGTGCTTATGCTGCAATTCACTGCTTGAGAGGAAGTACTATATGCAAGTTCAGTAATTGAAAATCATGATTCCCGGAAATAGTATTTCTCGCACCTTGGCCCGGTGCCTCCTCCAAACATAGTCGTAATGCCCGATGCCATAGCTTTACTCGCCTGCTGAGGACGGATCAGATGAGCATGGGTGTCAATTCCACCGGCAGTGATAATCTTCCCTTTAGCATCAATGATATCCGTATTCGACCCAATTACCATCGTGGAGGAGACTCCATCCATCGTGTCAGGATTTCCGGACTTTCCAATACCAACAATAACGCCGTCTTTGACGCCAATATCTGCCTTGCAAATCCCGGTCCAGTCAAGGACTACAGCATTCACAATGGCTAAATCGAGGCATTCCGCATCAGGACACCCACTCGCTTGTCCCTGTCCATCCATGATAGTCTTCCCATCTCCCAGTATACATTCATCACCATATATAGTATGATCCCTTTCGATTATCGCCCACAGGCCTGTATATCCCAGACGAATGTAATCCCCAACGGTCGGACCATAAGTCAGAGCATACTTCCACCTATCCATTGAACACGGCTCGACATCAATATTTACCTCCGTCACTTCAGGTGTATACCGGTATCCGGCCTTTCGGAGGCGCTGCACAAATTTAGTAGCACGTGTCTGGTCAATTGTACCGATAGCGAAGCCACTTCCGCCTTTGATAGTCTTCAGACCTCCAATCTCCGTCAGAGTGATGGCCTTCAGACTGTCAGGGTCAAAGCGAACAAATTCCCCAGCTGTTTTATCCAGGTGAAAACCGTAAGCCTTTTTTCGGTCGAAGTCGAGATCAGGGTTTGTTTCCATGAAGTGGAAATGAGATCCGACCTGTGAAAAAGTTTAGTACCAAAGATGCTGGGGTGAATTGTATCGGAATCTACCCTGACTAACATAAACAGCCCGGGTCCCTCTATTTATAACCTTCAGTTCAATTCTCTTCCGCCCTGGACTGAGAACTATATCACCCGAATCCGCCGGCAATATTGCGCCTGGCATCTTCATGGGCCCGTAATCCGAATCGTTGAGCTGAGGAAATGAGTCTTTGGCCGGTGCCGGGAGGAAACTACCGTACAGGGCCATCTTTATATCGCCATCATCGGTGCTGATTGGTTGATCGACGGTAATTAGGTGGGTTCCTGTCTTAAAAGTGCCCTCGATCTGGAGCCGAGTAAGCGTGCCTACCACGGATGGGTGCACATGTCGACGGCCTAAGATATGCTGTCCGATCTTCATGAGATCCGCGACGGAATGGCTTCCATTGCGAATGGCCTTGTCATATCTTAGTCATTGGTAAGAAAAGCAAAGAGCACTGGACAATACTAACCTCTTGGAGGACGGTTGTTATCAAAGCCTACTCTTATTAGCCTCAGGTTCTTGATGAGAGAAGAAAGAGTAAAAGAGATAGTAAACAAACAGCAGCCTCTGAACGATTCAATCTTACTCCAGCGGCTAGTCGCCTCTGTGCCAGGAACCCGGCCTGAGTAAAGATAAGTTTCTCGACCTTCCCAGGTAGCTGTCAGTCTCATGGTCGATACCAGTAGCTTTAGAAAGTACATACTTCGCGAGGTATCAAATGCATCTCTTGTGACCCTAATCGCTTGATGAAGCAATAACCAATTGAAAAAAGGTGTAGTCAAGTTTATATAACATAGAGCAGACTAACATCCTTTAAAACAGGGCCGTGAGTGGCCGCAAATTCCGACTCCATGATGCAACACCAACCTATATGATGCATGTAACAAGTTCTGGGATACGGCGGATGGTGGCCTGCCGAAGAATGCCGATAACCATTCGGGGTGAGTTTTCTTAGTGGCGGTCTCGCCCGACGGCCAATTCCTGGCGTCCAGTTCCAGTAACGTGCAGCGCTGAGACGCGGCGAAGGGTGGCCTGCAGCAGACCGCCGACGGCCATTCCTATCAGGTTTTCTTAGTGGCGTTCTCGCCCGACGGCCGATTCCTGGCGTCCAACTCCATTGATCTTACCGTGCAGCTTTGGGATGCGACGAAGGGCGCACTCAATTCAATCCAGTGCTATAGAGTTCCGAACATAGCCATTCTAGTAAGAAAGCTCACCTAACACGTAATTGAGAAAAGCCTGGAAATTACTTGAAATAATTTTGTCTTGCCTCGATGCCAAGACGATGGCCAAGACTAAATTCTCCCTAGGCTAGGGATAGATGTAATCTCGGTGGGCTCCCTTCAAAATGATTCGAGCACATGCCACGAGACACCTTTGTGGCGGGATCAAGCCTCCCCCGTTCATGTCCAATCGTTAACCATGCAAATTCGTCTAGATCAGATCATGCTATCAAATTACGCGCCCGGGATCTTCTTTTCTGAAAACGTTCATCGTATGTGGCGGGCTTATTCACCACAGCCTGAACGCATACTGGCTCCACTGATTATGGACGATCTACTAACCAACTGCAGTTAGCTCCAACGGCCGGGAATGCGATATGGCTAAGAGCAGCCATTTCTATTGGTCACCCCAAATGGAACTATTTTTGTCAATTTATTCACCGCCTGCGGCAAGTTCCTTCGCCCCTGTGGGCGTCTTCGTGTAACGTTACTAAGATTTTCTAAGATCGACGGCCTAATCATTCGACCTGCGATTGTCCTAATTCCACGCCGAGCCAACACGCAGACAATGCTTCTTCCGCGTATATCACGATAACATGCGCTTGGTGGCGCGAAACAATTGGGAATAAAATTTTTCATGTAGTTGAACATTGCAGAATGGTTAGTTGTTGGGTGTTTCTTCATTAATTGGCGACTACCGAATGCGGCACCGACACTAGACTTGATCCGGTTTGCCCAACATAATCATCTACAATTTGGAAAAGATTCGGCGAAGACGGAAAATTGCGACGCTTCCAGCTAGATGACCGAAATCCATAAAAAATTATTCATCTGCAACCAGCAACCAGTAAAACCTATATTTACTCAGTCTAATCCAGCATTTAACCCTGACCATAACAACAAAACATTCCCCTATCAGATCATATCCTTCAATGCTTTGAAAGGTCGAAAGCAAATTCAACATCTATTTTTTCCAAAAGAACAAACTCTCCCAATCTGGCAATGCAGCTCACCAATGTCACCGCTCTGGTCCTTGGCCTCCTCACCTCCTCCGGCCTTGCCGCTCCTCCTTCTTGGGTCAAGCCTGCCACTATCCAGCTCGCGAACGAACATTCTGGTGCCAATGCCAACGTCGCTGTTCCCGTTGATGGCGTGAAGCGCCCTGTTCAGGAGCTCTGGGGCCACACTGCAGTTGCACACGAGGGCCTCGTTTTCGCCTCAAGTGCCATGCTCACTGCTTTCCAGCAGACCACAGTCTGCGAGTTCACTGAGGAGCCACGTCTAGATGTGATCATTAACGCCGAGAAAACATACAGTTCTTTCGGGGGAGGTGTCAAGGACCTTTGCGCCGCCTATGTTGTGTGCAAGTGCGAGGGCATGTGAAATGTCAATTCTAAAACGAGCTTCCGGATAGGAAGACGAGCTCGCGTTTTATTTGTATCTTTAACATGCGTGGCGGAATGGGAATTGATCTAGTATAGCTGTTTACGTGCTCTAATCGGTATGCAAATGTCGTCTCGAACAAATTCTGCTGCGTATGCCTCTTGCACGAAAGAAATTCTCACGCCTCGTACAACTTCAAATTAAGTTTGCAGAGGAAGAACAATCCACCATTTTTGTATTCGTAGTTATTCAACCTATGGTCTTTATTCAACTACCCAATTCGATTCTGCTATGAGATTAGTAAGTAAGTCGCCTTCCTTCGCGGATATGTCAGGCAGTGAGGCCCGATTTGCCAACATGGCAATACAAGATCGCTGAGGCGACTATCACAGTAAGATAACTTTTTATTTTTTTTTTCACCTTTCCCGAGGCGATGAGATATAAGACATACCCTCAAGCCTGTTCCAGTTGGTCATCGTGGGAATACCTGCCTGCAATCTACTGGCGGACAGGCTGTTGTACCAACCGGAAGGCGCTTTTCGCTCGAACAACCATAAACGAAATCATGACCACGACTTGCCGCAACCATGCAATAAAAGAGCTTAAATATATATTGTGCTTATAGAGAATTACCGTGGCATACCGAATGTTCAACGTTTATTTTGATAACTTGAATATTCATAGAGTTATGGTCGTTTGAATCTGATCATATTTGAGGCTAATGCGCTGATATAAGCATACACTAAACCTATTTGAATTTCGTGGTCAAAACTAAACCCTTTTCGAATTTCGTGGTCAAAACTAAACCTCTTTCGGAACACAACTTACTTTTATCTGATAGATTCGATTTTAGGTTCGATTGCTATGCTTAGACCTTGACATTTCCCATGGGACTAGCGAAAATCTAGTCCCATGTCCATGGGACTTAGTCCCATGGGAATTCCTACAGAGGTCTAGTCCCGTGGACCCACTCCCATGGGAGTAAAAAAAAAATTTGGTCCCGCCATGGGAATTCCCGTGGGACTCCCATGGGACTAAAAAAATTTCCCATCTATACATTATTTTCATAATAATGATGGATAAATCGCTGAGTTATCATGATAGAATACGGTAATTTAAAGGTATTTCAGCGAGTATCCAAACCAACCAAGTATTCATTATTTTTGATATATTCCGACCATAATTTTGTGATTATTTAGTATAGCTTTAGTATCATTTAATATAAACATTCGTTATCTTGATCCTATTTTTTTCACACTTTCTGACTTACCTTAGAAAGTAAGGGCTGACATAGAGATATTATACCTAGTAACCTTCAATTTAAATCAGAAAGCGAAGCTTTTATAAGTATCTAGTACACCTATTCCAATATCAATATTCGTTATCTAACTATCCTTGATACTAATCTATCATATTTTCTAACGTATCTTAGAAAGTGAGGGCTAAAATAGAGACATCCATATAAAAAAAACTTCAATTTAAATCAGAAAGTGAAGCTTTTCTAAGCATTAAGTAAACCTACTCTAATATTATTATATTACTAACAATATAAATTGGCTAATACAACACTTATTCTAATTCTCTCTTCTTTATAATTTAATAGGAGCTACTAGGCGGCAAGACTCTAGTCAACCGCACCGGCGGCTCGGAGCCGCCGGCTCCTAGCCGATCTCTAGAATAACGAGGATCATATTTTCCGCAAGGTCAAGCTCCGTGTTAATAAGGTCTAAGGCAAGAACTACTTAACCAACTTCTATAGTCTACTACAAAGTCGTCGTTAGGGTCAAGTTTATCGCACTATTAACACATTGTCTTTAATATTATCACTGTTTTATTGCACACCACACTACAACTAACTTGAATAAACTTCTTTTGTGGATACTATATATATGCATATTTTTGTGTAGAGACTATACTAAAGACATAAATCGACTAACATCCCGTACCTAGACTTTCTAACGTCCGTCAGAAAATAAGCTTATAGAGGTTAATAACCTCACAAGTGCTAGATTAGAAGGTATATATACGAAGTCCTCCCCCTTTTCAAACCTTATCTTCTATTTTCCCCACCCTTATCACTACTATACGTGACATCCGTTAGAATTTGAGGCTCTTTCTACCCACCTACCTTTGATACCTCTTAGTCTACCTTTTTGACGTCCGTCAGAATTTAAGGCTATTTCCTACCTACCCACTATTAGTATCCTCTTAGCCTATATTTCTGACGGACGTCAGAAATTAAGGCTATTTCCTACCTATCTACCTTTGATATCCCTTAGCCTATATCTTTGATAGCCGTCAGAATTCAAGGCTTTTTATGAATCATCACTAACACCGTTATAGCATCCTTACTACTAACACTATCGCCGTTCTATTATTTGACCACTAGAATCACCCTTCTTGTATCTCCCCGCGTTATACACTATTATGGCTTCAACCCGCCGCTCTAAGCTAGTTGGTAATATTAACTATACTCCTGATTTCATCACGGCTATCGAGAATTTAGCCTTAAAGCTTGCTAGTTGTTATAGTTTCCTAACTATAGCCTCTCTACACAAAATCTATAGCCTCGACCCAAACTTTAAACACTCTCGCGATATTATCGATCAATTCGCCGCTAATCGTGCTAACTCCTTTGATCATCCAAATCTCTCCGCTAGCTAGAAGCAGATCCGCTTCTCTATCATCAAACACGCCTTTGATAATGCCCTAAAATAGAGTCCTACTCTCGCTGACTCTTAGCGCCCCATAGTTAGAAAGCACAATGTCGATACGTCCTACCTCTTCGAGATTCGCACACTTTAGTAGATTGTTCGATTGATACGCACCCGCAACACCGATATATTCAAGGCATCCTAGGTCACTAAATCCCCCTTCTCGTTTGACGCCAAAGAGGTTCTATATGCATAGAAGACTCTTATTTTCTTTGCAAACAATATCAAGAAGAACAAGAATTATATTAACACGGTACCCTAGTCTTCGCAATCAGCCGTGCCCAAACTTCAGACTAGCACGACTTCCACCGTAGCTACTATAGCTACTGCATCAAGTGTGGAGAACGCTATTGTCCTTAATAGTATTCAAATAGATCCTATTAATACCGAAGATACCTTTCCACTAGATATCGACCTCCTCGATATAACCCTTTTCGACGGCGCCCCTTACCTATCCCTACTCACTAGTATTGCCTATGTATTAGCTCACCCTATAACAAGCTTATTGGCTCGAGCCCCACTTATCCCCGCTGACCGTGACAGCCTTGTTTACGCCCTTACTAAGGGGAAATAGGCATAGAAATATATTCTTTACTAGGCTCCCTCTACCAAGACTTCCTAGGTATCGGACCTCCTAGCTGATCTGAAAACCCCTTCCGCTAATAAGCTGATCTCGTCGAGCGAAGCACTAGCCGAAATTGCCAATAAAAACGCCGAGAAGCATACTTACCAGGACCGGTAGCTAAAGACTAGTTATAACGATCGCCCCCTATAGATCCTAGATCTACCCGAGTGGGTCTATTAACAACGCTTAAGTCTTACCGTCTCTACTACCCCGCGAAGCTTCACGGATAGTCTCGCCTATGCCTATATCTCGATTGATTCTAATAGTGATAGCTTTATCGCCCCCCCGAACACGTATAGAGTGCCTCCTACGACTCTTATGCCTTGGTAAGTCACGGCTATATCGTGGATGCTTGACTAGGAAGCAAGTCTAGTAGCCGGTAGTATCCTAGCGGATATATACGGCTTAGGCAAAACACTTATAGCCTTATCTCTCGTGTGGCAGGCCTCCTAATGCCAAATCGCATAGGCCGATCCGGCTCCGTTCCGACCCACTCTGATCCTGGTGCCGTCCTCGTTGATCGATATATAGGCGAACGAAATCTAAGCTCACTTCGGTAATGCGTTTACCCTCTAGGTGTTTCACGGTTTTACTAGCCGTATAGGCGATGCTATACGCAAAAAACAGACGCTAAATACCCTTACTTGTCTCCGCGAAGAGCTCGCCTTAATAGATACTAATGATTCCGCTACTAGCCGCACTATCATCCTTAGTTTATACACTATATAGGCCAAACGCACACTTATAGAGGTACTTCCGGATAGCACCACGAAACCCACTCTAAAGCGAGTTAATCAGGATCACAATAAGGATACCGCGGTGCTAGACCACGACTACTAGAATAAGGATGACTTAGATATTGTAGATAAAGATAACGACCAAGTGCCTAGTTCTCTACCTAGCTCTCTACCAGGGACTCCACCTATGATGTCTGCCTACCAAGAAGTAGTTAAAGTTCTTGCCGTCCTACAGGATAACGACACCTCCGGTTTATTAGATCCCGAGGCTGCTCTCGAAAAGTCTTAGAAGAAGAAGGTCCGCCGTTAGTTCCAGCCACTATTGAATTTCCATTTTGAACGCGTGATCTACGATAAAGGACACCGTGTGAAAACTATCTCTTCCCGCTAGCATCGGAGCGTGTCTGCCTTACAGCGCAATACTATCTAGTTTCTCACGGCAACTCTAATGTGGAATAAGCCGCTAGATATCGCAGGATACCTTAGCCTTCTCTAGAAGGAGGAGTGGGCTAGTATCAAAGAAACCCCGGCGAAGCTTCCACCTACGGCTCTACCCAACCACTACGACGACCTTCTTTCCTAGTATCGCCTATGGTCTTAGGAGAAAGAGGTTCCAGCCTTAGCGGCCTAGCGACTATACTATCTCCTAAGCCCAAAAGGACTAGTGTCAATTGCTACGAAGTCCTACCTCACCCCGACCGAGGGATATTGGGTTCTCCTAATTATCCTTCGTCTTAGTTGCCTTCGTAGGGAGATGGGCGAACAGATGATCGGTGCTAACGGAGCTACCTTACATATTAGATCCGAGATTCCCGAGCTTACCGTGCAGACGGTAGAGCTAAGATACACTACGTAGGCGCAACATAACCATAATGAGATCTATCATCTATTATATAAGCGCCTCAAGAGTTTTCAACCCGAAGA